ACTGGCCTTTGTATTATGAACTACTGGTTTTATGTCTTTCAGTGGCATTTAGAAGTTGTACATTGATGTCCAAGATATTTTTATGGATTAAACTTCTTTGTAATTTTAAGCTTTAGTTCCTCGAGTCAGCTGTATCCTTTCAGCACCTCTAACTGTACCCTGTGGTGACTTAGGTTTTCACAGGTATCTACCACAATATTGCTTGTTGGAAAAGGAGAATGATTCTTTTTCAGAAGAAGTCCTCCTTGGGGTACATATAAGCATTAAAATGTCCATTTTAAATCCTACGACAGTTGTAACTATATTTTTAATAAAATATTTACAAAGCAAAAACTCGCTTATTTGTCGGAGAACACCCCACAGGACCCACGGACCAACACAGTTAAGAGCAGGTAACCCCTCACCGTCTACCTCGTGACCACACTTTCATGCTGTCGCTCTGTTGAATAGACGCATGCGTGGTGTTCGCTTCGAGTTTGCTCTCCTACGCCGATGCGATGAGTGTAAAGAGTCTCAATCTGTATGTATGGTTCCTTTCTCACGCGACCGGCTGTTAGATGGGCGTCATATGTGGATATTTTCATTTCATCTTTGTTGTAACTTTGCAGGTTGGTTCTCTGTTTCCAACCATGTGGCAGGCAAAATGGCGGGACCGCGATCGTGGTTTCCTTGCTATATGTTCTTGGTAGCTTGTAGTAGGAGTTCATATATTATGTTTGCATATTATATGGTAGGCTTGCCTAAATTCTCTTTCTTTTCAGCGAATTTGTGGTAAGTCGTTGTTGAGTAATTTTGATAGTGTTCGTTTCAGTATCACTCAACTTTACTCTATCACTAAACTACGCAGAGGTGGCTAGCCTTTTTCTGCTTTGCATTGTATGTTTAGTATTTAAATGGCTGTAGCTTATAGCATTTATATATAAGCCCGCGCGATTATTCTTGCTATTACTTGTGTTTATGTGTTTGCTGCTTCACAGTTCCTGCTAGTAACACTGGCGTGGTTCTGTTTGTTGCAGTTTAAGCCCTGTTCGTTGTGCCATGCACTACCGCCACAGGATGGTCATAAAGTGTGCCTCCGGTGTTTAGCCGAGGGCGCTCCACGACGATCAAGGATGCTCATAATAAGCGCCCTTGCGCCAATATTCCTGTTACATTATGTTGTATTATGATACATATTTCATGCGTTTACACAACGCGTTGGCTCATAGGCGAGGTTGTGGTTTTACAATCTGGGTTTCGCCTCGCGCATTCTTTCCGACACGCAGATTTTTTGTTTTCACTAATCTGCTTCCAGAGCGGAGGATAATATTTGATAAAGGTTTCTAAGAAATCCTTTATCGTTTCCCCGCAAACAATGTTGCTGACTTAAATATGACTCAATTTGCTTCACTATTGCAGCAACATATTCTTCAACATAATGTCAAGTCGATGATTGATAGCGCGATGTCCGGGCTCCGTAAGGGAGCTCGGCTCGCGAATGTTGATCTCGAAGGTAAGTTCACCAGGTGTCGTCTGTGGTGAAATCCCCGGCACGACTGACACGGTGCTGTCTGGGTTCCGCAGAAGCTCAAACGCCAATGTCGTCGGGGTGGATCGGACGCATCTGGGGGTTGGCTGCGGCCCGAGCTCTGGCTCGAGAGCGGCGCCCTCCCAGGCAGCTTGATCCTGGCTTCAGCTCAGGTGATGGTGTGCCTTGGCACCTGTGGCGACTCCACCTAACCGGGCTCAGGTTCGTCACGGGTGCCTGGCGATGCAGGTTTTGCCCTGGTGCCCTGACTGGCAGTCGCCTAGGCGCCGACCAGCTCGGGGACACCTCGGCGCCACGTGGTCAGTCGGGGTTGCCCGGGAAACCTGTATATCGGCAGGTTCCTCTCGGCGGTCTGGGTTCCACTGAGCTGCCGATCACCCCGGCGCCTTAGGTCTACCTGTGTCCACCAGGGCAACCTGCATTGCCAGGCTACTCCCTTGTGTCTCGGGACTGCAGATCGGACTAGCACCGACCTGGGCTTCGCCCCGTGCACGAGCAGATCCCCGCGGCTGTTAGCTCAGGTCTCGGCCTGATGTCTATGATGCCCTGGCCAAGAGGCCGTTGAGTGTGACGAGCTGCCCGATCACCTCGCCAGCGCCGAGGTCTACCCGTGTACACCAGGGGAGCCCTGCATTGTCAGGCCACTCCATGTGTTGGGGATCGGGTTCGAACTTCGAACCGCCGACCGAAGCACTTACGCATACATACATGTGTATGTATGGGTATTTATATAGCTATAGGCTGCGTTTGACTATCGCTTAGTGCGCTTTAGGAGAGTACTTTGGGAAACCTGATTTATCAGGCTACTCCTACGTCTAGGTCTCGATCGGGGTTCGGTCCAGAACAGCTGAGCTTCGGCTCTCGCGGATTCTCTGAACCCGTGGGTAAACGCCGACCCAGGCTTCGGCACTGGTAGGGCTTAGATTCCCGACCGTAGTTCAGGTCTTGGCTCCGGGTAGTTCAGGTCTCGCCTGATGTCTATTGGCGTATTGACCTAGATGCCATCGAAGTATGCCGGGTGTGACTGTCACCTTCGCCGCTCCAGGTTTGTCTGAGAGCTTGTGAAACCTTGATTGTCAGGCTTCTCACATGTGCCTCGGAATCGGGTTCAGGCTCGCATAGTGGACAAGTTGATTTGAGCTTTGGCTCATTTCGCTACTTTGAACTTACCACTAAGTAGGTTCGTCCTGAGGGCAAGTCACGCAGATAGAATCGCGGCTGTGTTGCCTCCGGTGTTGTCCATGTCGACTACCCGAACCGTTGGAGTTCGCCTCCCGGAGGGAAGCCTGCTTCCAGCACGGCATCCGGACAAGGCCTCACACTCTCCCTTAAGTCTGCCGTTCTTTCCCCTTCACAGCTCAAGCGCTGTATGCTCCACTCGCGCATCTCTCAGCTGCTGAGGGAGCTGGTGGAAAGGGGAGAGAGCCGGTGGAATTTTTCGTCCGGGCGAATCTGGGCGTGCATCTGACGGGGCAACTCTCATCTGGCTAGGGACTGCATTGTAGCTGTGCTAGTCAAATGATGAGAGAAGGCGGTTATGGGCATATACGCCCGGGACAGTTTCGGAGGAATACGGAAGTCTGTTGAGCTTCGTTACTTCCTCAGGTGCCCAGGCATCGGCTAACGTTAAGTTGCCGACTGCTGGGGTTACTATATTCTGCCGCGAAACACCGGCGGGCGACACACTCCAGCGTCGGCTTCCCGGGAGACGGCGACAATACCGCGCCCAGATCCAGTCTTTGCTGGGATAGGCAACCAGTGTGGTGGTTTCCAATGGTCAGGAATATGTGGGTTTGACTCCACTTATTTCATAGTTGCCATTACTTAACGGAATGTTCAGACCCATTCTCATCTGAGAGCTGAACAAGTTTATAGAGGTACTGTCCTTCAAGATGGAGACACCGGCACCGGTGATGTCATCTACCGGAGACAGGATTGGCGCAAGTCAATCGACCTCGAGGTCGCTGTACACTCCTTGTTCCATTGCACACCCTGATTTCAAGATTTATCTTCCGGTTTCTTGTTTGACGGACGTACTACCAGTTTCGTGTGCTCTCCTTAGGCTACATTACGGTGCCAAGGGTGTTCACCAAATTGAGGTTTATTACAGCTCAGATAGCCAGATCGCGGTGCCGGTGTTGTCACCCGATACATAGGCGACTGACTCATCATGATTTCAGATAACTGTTGAGTCTGGGGACTCCACGATCAAATACTGAAACTGGGCGGAATTGTCAACCTCACGGAGTCAGATGGACAGACGTCAGCCGCTCTCCGAGGGTCCCCACCCTGGAGACACCGCCGCTTCTCAGTCCAGCCAGATACATCCCTACCGGGTTAGGGCGATGTTCTGGGTGACCTGCAGCCTCTTGAGACGAAGTCACAACCCGCACATCAATGTGCTGGAATTGACAGCAGTCAGGTTGGTGTTCAATCCCGCACGCGGATTCGATTACCTCTTCGCCAGACATTCTCACTCTGCGGGCGCCACACCAATCCTCGGATTCGCTGGGTGAATTTGGCCTCTGTCGGGTATAACACATGGAATTCCTGCAACCGTTGCAGACACAATTCTGCCTGGGATTCGACACCCGCTCAGTGTGTTGATAGGTGGGCGCTGGTGTGCAGATAGGGGATTTCATAATCCCTATTCTGCGGATTTAGTTCGGATATTGGAGTTACTATAACCTCGCTTTGGTTGAGAGCCTTATGACCTCCACCATTGCCGGGCACTCCATGGCTATTTCACGCTTCACACCTCGCTCGATGGTGCTCTGCCTAGGCAGCATCCCTCGCACATCGGCGTCAGTAGCTGGCATGAACAGGGTTCGAGCCGCCGTCGTGACCACCCAGCCCCCCTTTAAAATTGCCACCTTATTCACAATTGGCTGTCTGGCCTCTAATTTTTCAAGTATATCGCTCTCTCACTTCACTTGTTGACGTGGAAGACGACTTTACTTGTTGTGGTGAACTCTGGTAGAAGGGTCGGGTACATCCATGCGATTCCCACTGACCGACACTGACAGTATTTTATACTGATCATGTCCAGTATTCGACCCGGATACCCATTCTCAAGTCGCGATATTGCTTTCCACGTGACTGCTCATATCGCGACTTCCACCCTTTAACCAGCCTTCCGCACCGGGACCAATCTTCGATTGCTCACCCGCGCCTGTCACTTAACGAACGAACAACAGGGATCCGTGACGGGTACCCATGTGAGCTGTTTGGTGGCGGAAGACTGGGGAGTCTGCTAACAAAGCGCACTTTATCTCGTTGGTTTGTTTCCGTAATTGTATGGTTACAATGATAAGGTTTACCTCCCCCCGAGGGGTTGAAGGCAGACTAGGTAGGGCAGATGCCGCTTTGTTGGCATTACACAGCGGCACTGCTCAATGAAGAGATCGGTTCTGTCGCTCTTTGGAGCCAGCAGAACGCCTTCATTCGCCATTACCAACTTGACACGCATTCTAAGGATCGTGCTCGGTTCGGTCTTTCGGTTCTCTCCAGTGGAGAGTGACCTGCCACCCTGACCAAGTTAGTAACTGGTCATTGGTATCGGTTCTGTGTTCAATGTCGCTATTCAGGGGATTTTTGTACGCTTACAGTTTTTCCCTCTTCCCGAGCCTTCGGTATTTGGGAGTCTGTGTTAATCAGCTTTGTGGGATGGTGGCCTACACTTACCCTCCTCACGCCGAGAGTGTTTGGTGGGGGTGTTTTTCACTCGTACAATGCATGGCGTTTGTACTCGTTCGATTTCCTCAGAAAGTTTTAGCGAGGCTAATAATTTCTCTGGGTTTTATCGAGGTCCCGGCAAGCCCTCTTCCAAACAGGGGTGCTTTCGAGCATTAGTTTGCAGTACTTATTGACTCACTGGGTTATTGGCTTTGTAGCGTTTAATTTTTAAGCTTTCCCTACCCTTATACCTCTCGCCACGCTTGTCTGGCTGGGGCTATATTAGGGTTGGGAGTTGTTTTTCGCATGTCCCCATACATTCCTTCCATTGTAATGGTTGGGGGCGGGTTTTATGTCATTGATATTGAGCCAATTGACATATAAGCTTGGAGCTCTCTAGTTCTACCGCCTGATTGACGCCAGCGGTCAGGTGGCTCGATGTTTTCTATTTCCCAGATCGGTTGTAGATTTCACTCCACCACGGGTTTAGTTGTTGCCAGACAGAATGCCACCCCGCCTCAAATATCTTTGGGAGTCTGTCATATGCTTATATGTACCCCCAAGGAGGACTTCTTCTGAAAAGAATTATACAAACCCTGTAGAGGTTATAGAATTCTTTGAAGAAAGTCCTCCTTGGGTACAGCCACCCCCTCATTCTGTTTGACACGTTCAGCATGAAAAGTGAGGTACGAGGTAGACGGCGAGAGTTACCTGCTCTTGGCTGTGTTGGTCCGGTGGGGCCCTGTAGGGGTGGTCTCACAAGACAAAACGAGTTTTTTGTTTTGTAAATATTTTATTAAAAATATAGTTACAACTGTCGTAGGATTTAAAATGGACATTTTAATGCTTATATGTACCCCAAGGAGGACTTTCTTCAAAGAATTCATAACCTCTACAGGTTTGTATAAATTGGATCAGATGTTTGACAGCTTAGCTGAATGTGTGTCATCACACGCATACTGTGTGGAATACTGCCTGACACAGACTCAGTTATTCACAGGCCACCGTGATATTGGTGGATTGTTGCTGACTCCAGTATGAAGCAACAAACAAGTTAGATCCAAATAATGTGATGGCTAATATCCCATTTAGTTATGTGTCTGATAGAGTATTCCATCTTGTCGTTATCCCAGGAGATTCAGAGTAAGAAAATATGTCGCTAGCAAAATACTGTAAACGATATTATATTTCGCGCAGGTTTTATTTTCGCGAAAAACATTTTAGCGCGAAAATTTATACATCGCGAATAAACCTGTCATTCATTCAGTCTAGCCACACTCGCCCCTGAGTTGTTACCATAACACATCACGTTTGAAGACAGAAATCAACGGGAATCTTAAAATGACGACTGATCATACTTAACTGTCGCTGTAATGGATTTCCCAAAACATAATTAAATAATGAGCCAAATCCATTGCGTTTAATTAGCGAAAACAGCAATGTGTGTTGTGTCGCCATGGAAATTGGTCACATGACATGGTTTGATACAAAACAGATTACCGTGAAATGACTCGAAAGAAATAATACAGCAGTATTTTATTTATTCATTAAGATTTTATTCACCAGTACATCATGAAGCGAATAGTCACTAACACTCAATCATCTCATTCACAACAACTCGGCTTGTTTGAAATCACAAAGAGCTTCATATACAGTAAAAGTTAATTCGGCAAATCGTCAGAATTCGGAACATAAGACTGATGTGTTTTTCATCTCTTCCGGGAGTAAACGGATTACTGTGTACTAGTATATCGCACAGATAGGGATTTCCTGTGAGTAAGCAATAAATGTCGCCTGACAGGTTAAGCCACTCTGTTTGTTTTCACTGCTATTAGTGGCGGCCAAAGAGACAACTGGCAGTTCCGGCAATTACTGATTGCGCGAATAATTGACCGCGCGAAGTAGTCTAAACTGTCAATTCCGCGAAAATTGCACCACGCGAAAATAAGTACGTTTACAGTATGCTTGTCAAGTGAGTGAGTGAGTTTAGCTTTACACCGCACTCAGCAATATTCCAGCTATATGGCGGCGGTCTGTAAATAATCAAGTCTGGACCAGACAGTCCAGTGATCAACAGCATGAGCATCGATCTGCGCAATTGGGATCCGATGACGTGTGTCAACGAAGTCAGCGAGCCTGACAACCCGATCCCTTTAGTCGTCTCTTATGACAAGCATGGGTTAATGAAGATTGGTTAAGGCATTCGCTCATCACTCTGAAGACCCGGGTTTGATTCCCTACATGGGTACAATGTGTGAAACCCATTTCTGGTGTCTCCCGCCGTGATATTGCTGGAATATTGCTAAAAGCAGCATAAAACTTAACTCACTCACTCCCTCTGGCTGTGTTGCAGATGTCCATGGCTCATGACACAGCACGTGTGGTTCAGTGTCTGGTGCAGTACGGCAACCCTGAACACAGGACATCCGTCATGGAGGAGATTAAAGGTAAATATCAGACACGTAGATAATCACACTTGGATGTCATCTGAGAAATGTGATATCAACAGACATGAGGGTAAGATTCCTTGTCTCCCAACATCATTCTTGCTAGTCCTGCTTGAATGAGACAACAATGTTTACTGTTTTTACCTCTTCTATCAGTTTATTATATGGGTTTGAGCTCCGTCCGACCTTCCGTGTGTCCGTCCTTCCGTGTGTCTGTCCTTCCATGTGTCCGTCCGAGATGATGGGGACAGATTTTCTCTGTCATAGATAGGGAAACCAAATCTGGTATGCATTTTCAGGACACAAATGCTTTGATGGAGTTCGAAAACGGAAACCGTGTTACAATGTGTTACAGAGTTATGGCCCTTGTCATCCATTTCTTGACTTAGTGCACATCATCCCCAATGGGAACAGATTTTCTCAGTAAGGCCTAAAAAAAAAAGCTTGTGGTTCCGATTTCCTGATCGACCCTAAATATTCCCGCTGGGCCTAACAATTTTCCTCACCACATAATAAATTAAATTTATTTTCTGACACATGAGTAATGTAAAAATATTTTGCAAAAGAAACCCCAAACCCTACCTACCTACCCTAGTTCTGAAATGAAGGAAATCGGAACCACAACATTTATTTTTTTGGGCCTAACCGTTCTTGAAGGGAAACCAAATGTGGTATGTGTTTTCAGGACATGAATGTCGTGATGGAGTTAAAAAACAGGAATCGTGTGGCGGGGGAAATTGATGACCATGCCTTCTTGTTCAGTTGGGGCGTTGGGGTAGTCTAGTGGTTAAAGCGTTGGCTCGTCACGCTGAAGACCCGGGTTCGAATCCCCACATGGGTACAATGAGTGAAGCCCATTTCTGGTGTCCCCTGCCGTGTGTTGCTGGAATATTGCTAAAAGCGGCGTAAAACCAAACTCAGTTCCTATTTGTAGTAAAAGTGATGCCTGGTTCTGGTTCTCTGTTATCACCCTCGCATACTGTCAGTCCACAAGGACTACCTACATTGGTGATTGCTCATCATCAGCTCAATGTAGTTGTTTCAGGCTAGCACATAGGTAGAAAACTGCATGTTGCATTGTGGACTTGAATCAGTATCTCTATACATATTATTGCTTTTTCCTGTTCACGACAATGGTTGAATATGTATGTCAATAGCAGTGTTGCGAGTGTTGAGGTGTAAGGAGTTCTAACTAGAGGTCACATGACATAGAAATGTGCTGTGTATTACCGTCAGTGTTTGCTTGAATATTGTCACCTTCTGTTAAATGGAATTTCAGTCAGTGAACATTACTTCCTTTTTAATCGTGATATAAAAAAATGATTTCACATTTTCTCATTGTTTCTGTTCCAGATGAAATAGTTTCAATGTGCAAATCAAAATATGCCAAGTTTGTGATCAGGAAAATCTTGAAGTATGGGTAAGTAAGTGTAATGTGTCTCTCTGTGCCATGCATACATATAACTTGTTGAAAGAGGCAGCTAACAGGATTGGATGGTCAGGCTTGCATATTTGGCTGACAAATGCCTTTATCTCAGTTGCTCTTACTATTGATCACTGGATTGTCTGGTCAACAAGACTCAATATTTGCAGACCGCCGCCACCTAGCTGTAGTATTGCTGGGAGCGGGATTAATCAAGAAACAAACAAAAAATTTGTGTTACTGGGAGCAAGTGCGGTCATATTGTCTGTTCCAGGGAGATTTATTTTATGGAAATTAATTGTAGTAATATTTTGCTCTACATTGTTAAAACTTTTTCCTCTTCAGCTCCAAACAACAGCGTAACTTTATGTTCAAGACATTCCATGGTAATGTTCGGAAGTTGATAAGGCACAGGGTAAGTTACTTTCTTTTGCCATGTGTTGCCAGGTTTCTGAAATTATCATCCTTGATTGTTGCTTTCTTCATTTAGTCTACTGAGTCGCCTGTTTTGTGCAGATGTACTAGGGGCATCAGCAATTCTGTACATAAAAGTAATAAACAGTTATGCTTAAAAATTGAGGGTAGGTGGGTCACTGATTTTGTACATGGCATGGTGGGTGTGTGTGTGTGTGTGTGTTGATGGAGGTGTCACATAACTCTTTCCATTGCATGATCTAATGGTAACACTTAATTGTGATTTTTATCCCCCGCAACACGTTTTGCGGGGTTTTTAAAATGGACTCCATCCGTGCACATTTGTCTTTTCCGGAGCATAACTCTAAAACCGTTCAATGTTTCTTTACCAAACCTGGCACCTAGATAGATCTAGTGGTGAACTGGTGCCTTTTGGTAGATTTGGATTTCTGAATAAAATATTTTTTGCGTTTCCATGGCAAGAAGTTTGACTTAGCCTGAAATTGGTGGTAGTGCTCTTTTCCGGAGCAGAACTTTAAAACTGTTCACTGTTTCATCACGAAATTTCATGCATAGGTAGGTCTAGTGGTGAACTGGTGCCTTTTGGTAGTTTTGGATTTCTGATTAAAAAGGTTTTTTGTTGCGTTTCCATGGCAACAATTTTGGCTTCAACTGAATCTTGTGGTAGTGAAACTTTTCAGTTCTCTCCTTCCACTTAGCTATATACACACCAAAACATTTGACATAATCATAACTCGTAGACATATTCATGAAGAGTATTTTGCCATTGCGGGGGCTATTGATGACTTTGTCTTCTTGTTTAAACGAAAATTGGAGAAATATACTACAATCGCATTCAAAGGTACCTTTAAATAGAATGCTCATACATAAGGTTTTAGGATAAGAACTTGAAATTAGAAGTGGTTACCATGCCATCTCCCCTCCCTTCATCTGTCCATTTCTTCGGTGAATTGATCTTGTCGTGTATTATGATTCCATGAACGGTGTTTTATCACACACTGTTTGTCCTGTGTATGTTGTGTCAGTGTATTTACCATGTTTGTGCAGGAAGCGGTGGAAATCTTGGAATTTGCATACAATGACTACGCTAACGCTCCACAGCGCTTGTCTATGATGGAGGAGTTCTATGGACCAAGCTTTACTTTGTTTAAGGTACGGTAAGATAATCTAGAGTAGCACATCTCTCACTTCAGCACAAAATTATTTTGATTATATGCTTAGATTCTAGACCGAAAACCAATTACTTTTAATTGTATACATGCAAACTTTATGGTCTGCACACGCAATGTATCTGATAATCTTGATAATTCGTTTTCACAAGTATAGATCATATGTCAGTAGTACCCTCTCTTACAGGATGATTCGGGGTTTGGGGTGGTGGGTTAGTGGTTAAAGCGTTTGTTTGTCACGCCGAAGACTCGGGTTTGATTCCCCACATGGGTACAATGTGTGAAGCCCATTTGTGGTGTCCCACGATGTGATATTGCTGGAATATTTAGCGGCATAAAACTTCACTCACTCACTCACCCACTCACTTACCCAATGAATGGGGTTGACAAGTGATGCTAGGGAGGTGATGTTCGTGTTTGGCTGCTGTTATGAACATGTGCTGACTGAGAATGTTTCTGTGACAGAATCACGACACCAAGTCCCTGGAACAGATCATGCTGGAACAGCCAGACAAGAAGGACATGATCCTAAGTAACATGAAGGAGGCTCTCCTCCCTCTCATTGACAAGTAGGTGTAGTTTATACATTCAGTCTGTAATTCAGTACCCGTGAAGATCTCAGTAACTTATAGCTACTAAAAACCCGTGAAGATCCGGGTTAGATTTGATCTTTAGTAACCCATGTTTGTCGTAAGAGGCAACTAACGGGATCGGGTGGTCAGGCTCGCTGACTTGGTGGACAGGTGTCATTATATCCCAATTGCGTAGATCGATGCTCATGCTATAGATCACTGGATTGTCTTGTCCAGACTATATTACTTACAGACCGCCGCCATATAGCTGGGATATTGCTGAGTGTGACGTAAAACTAAACTCACTCACTGTAATTCCGTAAAACTTCAAGACGTTTACTAAAATGTGTTGGATAATGTTCAGGCAGTGTTTTGATGTTCGTTATTAAAGATTGATATTGTTGTCTGCCCACAGGGACATATTGGCTCACTCCATGGTGCACAAGATCTTCCATGACTTCTTCCACTATGCCACTGACAAGATGAGATCAGTAAGTTTACATTAGAGAGGGTCTTAGAATCGGGAGGTGGGGTTGCCTGGGTGGTTTTAGGTTTGTTCCAACAAACTGAGGACTCGGATTCTCTTCTCCACATGGGCACACCGTAAGTCCCATTCTTGGTGTTTGGCAATTGATGTCCCTGAAGAGTACAACTCGGATCACTCTCTCATTAATGTGTGTTGAGTTTCAGCTGCTGTGATGAGTCAGGAATATTGTTACAAAGCAGTGTCAAACTCACTAATGTGTAAATCTCAGTGTGTGCTCAACTGTAAAGTGCATGGAGTATTGCAAACTTCATGAACTGAGGTCAATACAGTCAAGGAGGTCAGTGGAAGCCGCAGTGGCTGAGCGGGTTAGGCGTCTGACTTTGTGTGCTGGCAATTAGGTGCCTGACTCTGAGGGTGTGGGTTCGAATCCCGGATGGGACTCAACCTCACAAAAGTACTAGAATCTGTACTTTGCTAAGAAAGTGTAATCCCAAATATAACATATGTTACTTTTGATCACTTTCTAAATGGCATTGTGTATTGAAACCATGTTGTTGCATTGTCTTGTAATCACAATCTGAGAGTCTTACACATTGTCCTCCGATTATCATGACTTATGATCAAGTTTTTTAAATAATCAGTGCAAGTCATGCAGAATCCGACTATCAATCAAATCAAGAAGCTTGCTTTCACTGAGTGATGGTGCGGACATTTTTCCACAGGAAATGATCGAGTGTCTCCGGGAGCAGCTGATCACAATGATACACACGCGGGATGGGTCAAGGGTCGCCATGAACTGTGTCTGGTTCGGCACTGTCAAGGTCAGTGTTGTTCAGTCATTTAAATGAGACAAGAATGAAAGCTGGTTATGTAACTATAGCTATATGTAACTAATGATTGTATAGCTATGTGTAACTAATGATTGTATAGCTATATGTAACTAATGATTGTATAGCTATATGTAACTAATGATTGTATGGCTATATGTAACTAATGATTGTATAGCTATGTGTAACTAATGATTGTATAGCTATATGTAACTAATGATTGTATAGCTATGTGTAACTAATGATTGTATAGCTATATGTAACTAATGATTGTATAGCTATATGTAACTAATGATTGTATAGCTATATGTAACTAAGGATTGTATGGCTATATGTCACTAAGGATTGTATGGCTATATGTAACTAAGGATTGTATAGCTATATGTAATATGTAACTAAGGATTGTATAGCTATATGTAACTAATGATTGTATAGCTATATGTAACTAAGGATTGTATGGCTATATGTCACTAAGGATTGTATGGCTATATGTAACTAAGGATTGTATAGCTATATGTAATATGTAACTAAGGATTGTATAGCTATATGTAACTAATGATTGTATAGCTATATGTAACTAATGATTGTATAGCTATATGTAACTAATGATTGTATAGCTATATGTAACTAAGGATTGTATGGCTATATGTCACTAAGGATTGTATGGCTATATGTAACTAAGGATTGTATAGCTATATGTAATATGTAACTAAGGATTGTATAGCTATATGTAACTAATGATTGTATAGCTATATGTAACTAATGATTGTATAGCTATATGTAACTGAGGATTGTATGGCTATATGTCACTAAGGATTGTATGGCTATATGTAACTAAGGATTGTATAGCTATATGTAACTAATGATTGTATAGCTATATGTAACTAATGATTGTATAGCTATATGTAACTAATGATTGTATAGCTATATGTAACTAATGATTGTATGGCTATAAGTAACTAATGATTGTATAGCTATATGTAACTAATGATTGTATAGCTATATGTAACTAAGGATTGTATAGCTATATGTAACTAATGATTGTATAGCTATATGTAACTAATGATTGTATGGCTATATGTAACTAAGGATTGTATGGCTATATGTCACTAAGGATTGTATGGCTATATGTAACTAAGGATTGTATAGCTATATGTAATATGTAACTAAGGATTGTATAGCTATATGTAACTAATGATTGTATAGCTATATGTAACTAATGATTGTATGGCTATAAGTAACTATTGATTGTATAGCTATATGTAACTAATGATTGTATAGCTATATGTAACTAATGATTGTATAGCTATATGTAACTAATGATTGTATAGCTATATGTAACTAATGATTGTATAGCTATATGTAACTAAGGATTGTATGGCTATATGTCACTAAGGATTGTATGGCTATATGTAACTAAGGATTGTATAGCTATATGTAATATGTAACTAATGATTGTATAGCTATATGTAACTAATGATTGTATAGCTATATGTAACTAATGATTGTATAGCTATATGTAACTAATGATTGTATAGCTATATGTAACTAATGATTGTATAGCTATATGTAACTAATGATTGTATAGCTATATGTAACTAATGATTGTATAGCTATATGTAACTAATGATTGTATAGCTATATGTAACTAATGATTGTATGGCTATATGTAACTAAGGATTGTATGGCTATATGTCACTAAGGATTGTATGGCTATATGTAACTAAGGATTGTATAGCTATATGTAACTAATGATTGTATAGCTATATGTAACTAAGGATTGTATAGCTATATGTAACTAATGATTGTATAGCTATATGTAACTAATGATTGTATAGCTATATGTAACTAATGATTGTATAGCTATATGTAACTAATGATTGTATAGCTATATGTAACTAATGATTGTATAGCTATATGTAACTAATGATTGTATGGCTATATGTAACTAAGGATTGTATGGCTATATGTCACTAAGGATTGTATGGCTATATGTAACTAAGGATTGTATAGCTATATGTAACTAAGGATTGTATAGCTATATGTAACTAAGGATTGTATAGCTATATGTAACTAAGGATTGTATGGCTATATGTAACTAATGATTGTATAGCTATATGTAACTAATGATTGTATAGCTATATGTAACTAATGATTGTATAGCTATATGTAACTAATGATTGTATAGCTATATGTAACTAATGATTGTATAGCTATATGTAACTAATGATTGTATGGCTATATGTAACTAATGATTGTATAGCTATATGTAACTAATGATTGTATGGCTATAAGTAACTAATGATTGTATAGCTATATGTAACTAATGATTGTATAGCTATATGTAACTAATGATTGTATAGCTATATGTAACTAATGATTGTATGGCTATATGTAACTAATGATTGTATAGCTATATGTAACTAATGATTGTATGGCTATATGTAACTAATGATTGTATAGCTATATGTAACTAATGATTGTATGGCTATAAGTAACTAATGATTGTATAGCTATATGTAACTAATGATTGTATAGCTATATGTAACTAAGGATTGTATAGCTATATGTAACTAATGATTGTATGGCTATATGTAACTAATGATTGTATAGCTATATGTAACTAATGATTGTATGGCTATATGTAACTAAGGATTGTATAGCTATATGTAACTAATGATTGTATGGCTATAAGTAACTAATGATTGTATAGCTATATGTAACTAATGATTGTATAGCTATATGTAACTAAGGATTGTATAGCTATATGTAACTAAGGATTGTATAGCTACTTTGCCCTAGGCTTGATTATGTTATTGTCATTGGTATCAAACAGTATTCACTTGTATTATGCTTTTATTTGAGATTACCCTTTCACAGTAAAGTACAGCACAAGCACTTGTTTGGTTTGTGTACCATCCAGGGGCCTGTTCCTCAAAGCGATCATAGCGCTACAACAGTTGTAAGTCGATGTTAAAGTATGGGAGTTACGACTGTCATAGCGCTACGACAGTTGTAAGTCTATGTTAAAGTATGGGAGTTACGACTGTCATAGCGCTACAACAGTTGTAAGTCTATGTTAAAGTATGGGAGACTGTCATAACGCTTCGACAGTTGTAAGTCTATGTTAAAGTATGGGAGTTACGACTGTCATAGCGCTATGATCGCTTTGAGGAACGTGGCCCAGGACAACATTTTTTGTGGAGGCAGTGGTTGCTGATTGGTTAGATAGCTGACTTTGTGTGCTGTTGATTAGGTGCCTAACACTAAGAGTGTGGGATTGAAGCCAAGATGGAACTCAACCCTAAAAAGTTGAGTACTTTACTGAGAAAGTGTAATTCCAAATATATCAAGTTATATTTGACCACTTTCTTAAAGGCATTGCGTATTTAATGTTCGCTTGCTTTTATTATCCATATTTAGAATGTAGTACAACATATTACCAATCCATGTGTACACTCCCCAGGATCGGAAGGTAATTCTCAAGAGTCTCAAGACCCACATTGCACGCATCAGCCAGGATGAGTATGGTCACATGGTCTTGCTGGCGATCTTTGACGTTGTGGACGACACGAAGTTTGTCTCCAAGGTCATTCTGGAGGTCAGTACATAAGCTACATATCCTATTGATCCTTGACTGTAATAAGCATGATGGAGCTGTTCAAACATTGGACATTTGGACATTCACAGACCTTTATGAAGAAAGAAGACCTGACTTTGTTATAGATGATGTTCATGGGGTAATGGGGCGGTGGGGTAGTTTAGTGGTTAAAGTGTTCGCTCCGCCACGCAGAAAACCTGGGTTCGATTCCCCACATGGGTACAATGTGTGAAGACCATATCTGGTGTACCCTGCTGAGATATTGATGGAATATTGCTAAAAGTGGCGTAAAACAAAACTCACTCACCCACCCACTCACTCATTCATGGGGTAATGAGCATCACTGTAACAGTTTCGATTTATGTGTATAGTAAGGGACTTTGGAAAAATTTTGGTCTTATTCATTGTAGGGGCATAGTATGTGACCCATTTTCTATGCAACTGAATTCTCCAGGATTCTTTTGATGTGTTAAAAATTAATGTTCATTTTAGTTAGTTCTCAGATTGCTCTTCTGCTGTCTTCTTATCCCCCACCGCGTGTTTAGCGTGAAGCGAGGGATATAGTATTAGGCTCCGTCCGTCCGTACGTACGTATGAACGAATTGGAATATCTTAAGAACCGTTCTCTAGATTCTTTTCATATTTGGTACCTAGGTTCATCACAGTATAAGAAAGGTCCAAGTCAGGTTTGGTGACCTTGACCTTCATTTCAAGGTCACAAGGGGACTTTCACGTTTTACCTGCATGTTAAGTTATCTCAAGAACCGTTCACTGGATTTTCCTCATATTCAATACAAAGCTTTATCTAGGGAAGGTGCAGGGCCCAGTCGATTTTGGTGACCTTCACTTAATTTTCAAGGTCACAGCGACACTTTGAAGATTTCAGCATGTTAACCTGAATTGTCAGCCTAAAGAGCAAGATATCAAGAGAGGTTGACTGGTCATGTTTTTGTTGACATTTAACTTTAACTTTCATTACTTTATAAGTTTGATTTGATAATTTTCGGCGGGGGATTATGTCACCTTAGTGACAATGCTTGTTTAAATACTGATCACCCAGGCAGTCTGTTACGTTACAGCTGTGTGTTGCAGGAGATGTTGAAGAGTTTGAGTCAGGTAGCGGAGAACCAGTACGGCCGGAAGGTGTTGCTGTATCTGTTGTCTCCACGGGACCCACTCCACTTCCACCCCGACATCGTACACATCCTGCAGCGTGGGGACGCCAACACCACCAGGTCAGCAGACATCCCCCAACACTTTCACAGAGTGAAATAGATCAGATGAGAACATGAAATCCATTATGTACTTGAAACATGTTCCATGGGCAGTAGATTATTATTATTATTTTATGGGTATTTATGTAGTGCTATAGTCCATCCAATGTGCATGCTCAAAGCACTTTGTTTTTTCTCTTCAATCATTGGATGTCAATCTCAACGGCACCTTATTTTTCAACCTCAACTCCCTGGGGATCATACAACTAAAGCGTAAGTGATGAACTATGATGGTGGTGACGACCTAGGTTTGTCCCACATTGGAACTATGTATGAAGCGTTTTTGTGTTTCTTCTCCTCTGAAATTGCTAGAATAATGCTAGATGTATTAAACCATAGATACTGTAAAAAAATGTATGACTTGCATGAATATAGATTTATAGGTTATTAAGAGAGCTGTAACAATGAGCAATATGATTTCAGATTTGCCTTCGGAGATTTAATTGATCTGTTATAGCTGTAAATCTGCACAAGAAATATTGTAAGTTGCTTTTTATTTCAGTAAAAAAGATGGTCACATACGTCATCGGGAGTTGCTAGATTGTGTGTCCAAACCCCTTCTACAGTACATCGTTGACAACGCTGCCAACCTCGCCATCAACAACGCTGCGCTGCTAATGATACTGGGCATCATCACACATGCTAAAGGTAGGCCAGGGTCGTGCTGTAATGCCTTGAGACTAAACAGCCCCTGAGTATGTTTGTTTATCTGTACATTACAGATGGGATTCACCTTTGTGGTATGCAACAAATATCTGCAGTATTTGGAACTTTCTGCACATTAAGCTGACTACTGCAATATGACATTCGGTGATGACTTGTGAAAATAAACTTTTGGCTTATTTCTTAGATACTTTGTTTTCATAATTTGATGTCGGATTCAAATCTGCATTCTTTATGTGTCAGGTGACCCCTCGGATGCGATGACAGCCATTGCTAAGATCGCTGCACAGCCGTTCTCTGCATCCAAGGGAGAGAACCAGCACATGGTGGAGCACCCTGCTGGCCACCTGACTCTCAAGAGGCTGATCCTCAACGACAAGGAGAGGAGCACTGAGGACGAGTGTGCAGGTGGGTGGTGTACAGGTGTGATGTACAGGTGTGGTGTTACAGGTTACGTAGTGCACTGTGATGTTGTGACTTCCTTCGTGTGTGCCTTGTCATGTGGTGTTCCTTTTGCTTCTGTTCCTGGGCGGTGGGGTAGCCCAGTGGTTAAAGCGTTCACCCGTCACGCCGAAGACCCATGTTCAAGTCCCCACTTGAGTACAATGTGTGAAGCCCATTTCTGTCGTCCCCTGACGTGATTAATTTTATTCCTCATGGACAAATTATGCCATCTTTTAATGAGAAAGGTTATTTCCTTTTTCTTTCTAGATCTTATTAAACCAAATGTAAAAAGGTAATGTTTGTATTTATTTGTTAACATTGGCAAAAGCTTATCTTTTTTCTCTTTTAATAAGGAAGTTATGAGCAGTGTGAACAGACTGAGATCAGAGATGTTCATCAAACCCAGTGTTACTTTCGGTGTGATGATGTGTTGTGTAGCGCTGCTTATAACAGGTCCTGATTTTTGTGACAGTGCTGTTCTCCAACATACTGCTGTCGGTCCTGGTGGAGGGGACTCTCAAGTCCTGGGCGGCCTGCAACAGGGGCTGCTTCACCCTCATCAGGTAGGTGGAGGAGTGGAATGTGGGGGTGTTGGGGGAGGTTTCAAACATATATATCTTTCTGCACAACATGAGGTTGTCAGAAGGACCACAATGGTCTGTGAAGAGTTGTGTCCCTTAGTAGTGCCAGAGTCTGTTGGCTCTAATCATAGTTCTGGGATTGTCAGCAACCTCACCCACGGTCCTGGGTGAGTGTCAGACAACTTCATCACCTTCTAGGTGGGATGGGGTGGGGGTGGTGTGTGTTAGTCTAGTGGTTAAAGCGTTCGCTCATCATGTTGAAGACCCGGGTTTGATTCCCCACATGGGTACAAAATGTGAAGTACATTTCTGGTGTCTACCGTGATATAACTGGAATATTGCTATAAGTGGCTTAAAACTAAACTCACTCACCTCAGGATTTCCTGACCTACATTGAGCTGACATGCCTCGAAATAACCGAAAGGTTATCTCCCATTTGACAGACACCCAATTGACAGACACTGAACTAGAAGGTTAATTAGGGTAACACCTACGGGTATAATGGAACAGTCCACTGTCTAGTGAGTACTGATCAGAGTTGTGATTTGTCTAATTAGCCCTTCAACATATTGCCTCAGCTTATGCATTATATTGACTCAGTGTAATGCATGGTGTTCACATTACATATTTTTATTATTGGGAACTATGAATACCTACATGACTGATGTATGATGTTTTGAATGTTACAGTCTGTGATGTTACAGTCTGCTGGAGTTGGACGACATTGAGGTGGCGTCCCAGGTGAGGCAGCAGCTGAGCTGGCATCAAGAAGTAGTCTAAGGAAGATGACATTCAAGGGGGCACAGATACTGCTGCAGAAACTGGAGGGGATGTCACCGCCGGAGGCCCCAGATGATTGACTTGTGAGAGATAACCATCAGAGACTCAACTTGTTGGGAGAACAGCAGACTTGATAGAAAACCAGACATTGGGGAGGAGAGCTAGTAACTTTCGGACTTCTGACCCTTGGCAGCAACTTGGAACTGGGGCTATGTAGCTATGTACAATGGATAGCTTTGGTAGAACTTTAATGGGCCAGAGTACTATCAAAACAATCTTTAATAGTAACTGGACTTAATCCAATCATCAGTAACCCATACTTGTCCTAAGAGGCGACTGATCGGGTGGTCAGGCTCGCTGACTTTGTTGACACATGTATCGTATCCCAATTGAGTAGATCAATACTGGATTGTCTGGTCCAGGCTCAAGTATTTCTGGACCGCCGCCATATAGCTAGAATATTGCTGAGTGAGGCGTAAAACTAAACTCACTCACTCACTCAGTGTCATTCCAGCCAGTCTACATGCAGGAGGGAGGGCTGTATGTCGCCTTAGTTTTCCAACTCAAAATGTATCAACTTGAGATGCATCAACCGGCTGTTCTTCTCATGATGTAGGTTACTTTTGAACGTGAAGGCAGCTTCAGTTGGATAATTTGTGATGATCATTCTTTCCAGCTTGTCAAGATGTACGGCTAAGTTTGCTTGCTTGTTTTTGCAAGATGTCAGTGATTTAAAGGAATATGCAATGTAGCCTTCGGGTATTTGAAAGTATAAAGGCACTTCTTGAACACTGTATGCTCCTGTGTCAGAATATTCTTCATCTTTATCCAGTGTGTTTGGTGTTATTTATGTTTCACTGATTATATAACCAAAAATGGTCCATGTAATTGAATCGATTTGTATGAGATGTCTTCATTTTGCATGCATCTAAATCATGTATGTATTTTCCGATGGAATAGGAATACTTGATATTTTAGTTGGTAACATTTTAAAGCAGGTGTTGACAATTTGAGTTTTAGTGTCTACATATGTTATTATTTTTGAGATGTGTAGGGCAACAAGTGGAGGAATTTTGTATGCTCAAGATCAGTTTTAAAGTTAAAGATAAATTTGAAAATCCCTTTCTGATGTTGAACTGAGAATCTGCTTATATAAATATTATTATATTACTTCTTATTCCTTATGATGTATCGGAATCATTGTTACTGTATGTGCAGTAATAAATGGTTTTGGTACTACCAAAAGTTTCAGGGATCGAGCAGGACACAATCATACCCACTTAATTCAGAAGTTGTTGAATCTGTTTTGAAAATAGTTACAAGGCATTTTGATGTCCATTCTTCTCAATAAAAACTAATCTACACAAGAACTAGGAGCCAGTTTTAAGGTTACTAGGGAATATTCATACAGTACTTACACATGACATTCAATTGGACAGGGCACATAATTATCCTAAATTTGTTTTTAACTATGTTTAAAGCTGTTGATTTATGTTTCCTTTTTACGAACTGTGCCATGTTGTTTGCAGTAGACATAGAGCCTTAATCTTTATTACAATGTAGAGTTTGCCCTTCCTTTTCGTCATCTCAATCATGGGTTTGTCAAGTCCAGTATTTATACGCCACAGTCACATTGCAGAATGTGACATTAAAGAAACATTTAAAGGTATTATTATTTATAATAAGAGTGGGAAGAAATAGATTTGTATTGTGTATGAAGGAGTAGGATTGTCAGCCAGAGACTGCAAGTTAACTTGATGTTCTAGGCACGTAGTCTGTCTAATGAAACAGTATTGATACATTACTATTCCGAATGGACGTGTTGAAATTGTCTGGATTAACAGTTGTCAGACAATAAAGGCAAGATACTTTATGGATGGTAGCTTCTGTATCATGACGTGATGTTTCCGTAGAAATTCTAAACCATTGTCAGGCAACTTCACTCTTGCTTGACAATGGTATAAGAATCGATAAGATAAAGATGTTGTCATCTTGATAGTATCTTGCCTTTATTCTTATTACCAACTTCTAAAATGCCAATGAGATAACAATTGTCTTGCTAAATGAGTCCCTTTGTATATACACTGTATATAGATATGACTGTGTGACGTAACAAGGCTTCTCTAACTGTACCTCTATACGGACATCTTGTAATAGGATAAGTAACTGTTGACATGTACAGAAAATGTAAATAAATGTTGTGAAACATTCTGCTTATGTTTGTTTTTCAAAATGAAAACACATCTGTAGCTAAAAAATCTAATCTGTTTATTATGCATTGAATCTTAACAAATTGTACACTTAAAGTAACATTATTATATATATATTGTCATGTAAAAAATAAACGTGGTTGATGTCACAACTTTCACTGTGAGATCAGGTAAAATATTTACTAATAATTGCCTGCATTAATGGAGCTGAACACACTGACTTCAGTAGACCGTTCTGAGGAATCGACAGATCGGTTGGACATATGTGTCATCCTAATATCGAGTGAGGGGCTTTCTTTTCGGCCATCCAGCTTTAAGATAAAACAGATGGCTTTCTTGACAACAAACATAAGGATCTGGGTGCATTTGCACAAAGCTATCTAAAGGCTAAGGTGATCGTTATGCCCATACTTTAACATAGGCTCACAATCATCTTGTGCAAGTGGATCCTGTTCTGAAACATCACTATAAAAGGATATCAAAGAAGTGATATTTGTCCACTTTTTATACTGTCAACTTCTAAGAAATGCCCATAAACAATAAAATTTGATAAAAAGGGCCTAGTATTTGGAAACACTTTGTTACAAATATGAAAGTTGGGTACCTAAAAACTAATCTCTGACATGATCAATACATCATGCCCAGAAACGGTTGTGTGGACTGTTCCAGAGCTCAATGGAGCTAGATTACAAAGGGAGACTACTGACAAGGAAGTAAAGTACAACTGTCCTAATCTGTTTTAGAGCATTTTCAAAACGTGATCACTACTTTCAAAATATGGTGTTACACTAATGAACAGTGCTGGCGTTCTGACCAGCAGAACTACAACATATGTCGTAACACTTGTGACACAAACGTTCCACAAGACATTGTTTGCGAGAGATCTTTCAAACAATGCCTAGTTTCTGCAAGGTTGCAATAAAATCCAATTGCAAGGGAGTTGCAAGTGAAGGCTAAACCAACTGCCTGAAACAACCTGTGTTTTAATTTCCGGATGGTATTGTCTTGTCGCATATATACATTTATTTCCTATCACAGATCTAGCTACCAGGTAGACAATATATGAACTATATGACTTATAAACTAAAATATTAAACTGGGGAATTACTGATGAATAGAGAGAAAAAGACTAAAGCATATGACATGTTCAATATACACACAAATCCAAAACAGTAAAATATGGGTTTTTTTCCCAATATGTAAATAAAACACATAAAACGATACTCACAAACACTATTAATGATATATTCGCACACAAAACACGAAAGCAAAAAACCCTTAAAATTAATAAAACTAAGTTTTAATTTGTTGAACAGAAAAGACAACACCAGTATTTGGTTCTGCCTCTTAAAGAAATTCAAATCAGACTCCAGATTTCATAGTAAAATAACTGGATTCAAATCATTTGTGTGATGAACAAAACACTTGGGAAAGATATATTTCATTCAGACACATCTTTGTCACACTATTCCTGTATATGCCCAAACCCATCAATCATACATTCTTATACTACTCAAAAAAAGAGAGTTGAAGACAACTTGATTCACTCATATTATTATATTAACTCAGTCATGGCATGATATTGACAGATTAATTGTAGTAATATATTAGAATGTGTTGGTCTTTAACTTATTTTGAGAGGTATATTTGTTCTAAATGTTTCAATCATGTTCGGTGCTTACCTGCTGGTTAGCCATTTTACAATTTACGGACATATAAGCACTTGTATAACAGACATATTGCATCCTCATTGATACATACATGTATCCCATCAGACTCCTATTTCATATACAGATACATTCAATGGCCACCTTCGTAAAGGACAGCTGAGGGTGACACAAAGTGCCCATCAAAAGCAAAAAACTCTTTCTCCCAGTTGAAACATCACTCAATAATGGAGAAATACCGTAGTCAACACATAACTTCGGGCAGAGTAATAAGTGATGTACTGGTTATTTGTATTTTCATGGGCACAGTGAAGAGAACTCAAATGAGACAAGAAATTGAGAACATCAACAACTTGCACCATTTTGGATGCCAAGCTGAAAATGTGAAGCCCATTTCTGGTATCCCCGCCTCAATATCCAAAAATGATACTCCAAATTGCTAAACAGATCTATTTATATTATGTACTTCATATAGACTGATGTTACATGTCATGTACTTAAACCATAAGAACATGCAATCCTTGTCTATATATTTAATTATCTTCGAGCACAAACGCTGAAAAACAAGGATGATTTAACCAATATAAGACACGCTCTGTATAATAACCTCACATCATTCCCCTTCATACAAATTTTGATCTAGAAGATCAGAGAAAAATAAGATCATTATTTCTGTATATTAAGATCACCAATGCATTTTGTTCGTCTTACAATTAGGATAGTCTCTGTATATAATACCTCCAATGGCAGTTAAAAGCTAGAGTAAGTACCATGACAACAGGAAAGCACTGTTAGTATTGCCACACAATACATCTGTTGGATCATCATTATTATCATCATCACCATCTTGATACTACATAGGGAATTTACAAGACAAAGAATTATATAGACATGAAATATCATAAAAATAGGTTATTTCATAATGTGATATACATCAGTTGTAAATTACTCCTTCAAAATATGAAAGACATTATAAGACACTTGACACAATATTTGGATATGATGAGATTGGTAAATGATCTCAAGTTCTACAAAAGCATATATACAACATCCTATGTCTTGATTTAAATTCAACATGTGTAGGTCCAGCTGTTCATGTGCCATGTGCTTCTGTTAAGACCTCAGGAATGAGGGTCACAAATGGTATTGAGTGAGTATATCACAGTCTGTTAAGGCAATCAAGTAAGAGGACTATCTTGGGTCAATTTAAGTAAATGGTTCTTCTGACATTAAGAACTGGTCATATATTATACATATACTATGATCAGTCCCTTTGTGATGTTCAAATTAATAATGTTTATGATACACACCCACACACACACAAATACAAATACAAAAATCTCTCTGGGTGCCCCCTCCCCTATGATAAATGTCAGATCCTTACCATGCTAGCAAAGTAGGCCCAAAGTGAAACGTTGAAACGACACTAGGTCCTCTGACTTCATTCATCTATGGGGAAAAGTTTGAGTATCTTTTGTGTAACCATGTATACAATCATTGACTGTATTTACCATGTGTACCAGCGGGTAAAGTATTGTTACCATGTGTACCATTTGGTGTGGTATTGTGTTACCATGTGTACCACTGGGTGTGGTATTGTGTTACCATGTGTACCATTTGGTGTGGCATTGTGTTACCATGTGTACTGCTGGGTGTGGTATTGTGTTGCCATGTGTACTACTGGGTGTGGTATTGTGTTACCATGTGTACTGCTGGGTGTGGTATTGTGTTACCATGTGTACTACTGGGTGTGGTATTGTGTTACCATGTGTACTACTGGGTGTGGTATTGTGTTACCATGTGTACTGCTGGGTGTGGTATTCTGTTACCATGTGTACCATTTGGTGTGGTATTGTGTTACCATGTGTACTGCTGGGTGTGGTACTGTGCTACATGTGTACTACTGGGTGTGGTATAGTGTTACAATGTGTACTACTGGGTGTGGTATTTTGTTACCATGTGTACCACTGGGTGTAATATTGTGTTACCATGTGTACGACTGGGTGTAATATTGTGTTACCATGTGTACCACTGGGTGTAATATTGTGTTACCATGTGTACCATTGGGTGTAATATTGTGTTACCATGTGTACCACTGGGTGTGGTATTGTGTTACCATGTGAACCATCAGATAAGCCATTGTGTTACCAGAAAACTAAAGGGTGCAGTAATGTTGTGGTTGTGACAATAACATTTATGGAATGTTATCCAGGAAATATATTTGGTGACCAATTGTTTCACAATGAAAACAGCCTGAGCTAACATCACAGATTCTACATATATCACAGTTGCAAATCTACGCCACAGACACATCAGTCATAATGTTGTCACGGGCTCTGTTGGGGAGGATGAGGCCAGCGGTACTTTCTGTCACGCTCTGTTCATCCTCGATCATCAGGAGCTGTTGGTTGGGGTTCATGGCTGGAACAAAGAGGAACAAGAACTTGGGAGAATGGAATCTTGCATACAAATAACCAGTCAGAACTGGATGGAGATAGGGATCTGGTATACAAATAACCAGTCAGAACTGGAGGGAGAAAGGGATCTGGTATACAAATAACCAGTCAGAACTGGATGGAGATAGGGATCTGGTATACAAATAGCCAGTCAGAACTGGAGGGAGAAAGGGATCTGGTATACAAATAACCAGTCAGAACTGGATGGAGATAGGGATCTGGTATACAAATAACCAGTCAGAACTGGAGGGAGAAAGGGATCTGGTATACAAATAACCAGTCAGAACTGGATGGAGATAGGGATCTGGTATACAAATAGCCAGTCAGAACTGGATGGAGAATGTATCTAGCTACAAATCGCCAGTCAGAACTGGATGGAGAATGGGATTAATTCAATTTTCATGCCACAGTCAGCAACATGAAAGCTATAAGGTGGTGACCATACAAACCAGTGATTTACTTTATTGATAACATCCCATGCTATAATGATCTGATGACACCTAAGTCTTGTCCAGACAATCAACCATTCTGAGCTAGACCTCCTGCTCCAAACCCATGAAGATCCGGGTTAGAATTGGTCTTCAGCAACCCATACTTGCAAGAGGTGACTAACGGATCGGGTGGTCAGGCTCGCTGACTTGGTCGACACATATCATCGGTTCCCAATTGTGTAGATTCATGCTCATGCTGTTGACCATTGGACTGTCTGGTCCAGATTCGATTAGATACAGACTGCCGCCGTATAGCTGGAATATTGCTGAGTGCAGGGTTAAACAACAACCAAATCTCCTGATCCAGTTATCTACCTCTGACAAACAAGTACAGGTTGACATGTCATGATATCAGTGCACACACTCTGTGTGATATTGTAAAGGGGCTGTTGTCTCACCTGTCTCATATGCCCTCTGGCTCAGATCTGGAGGAAGTTCTTCATCTTCTATGTCCATGTCCATGTCTGTTTGCAGCTTGGCAAAGTTGATGAAGACCTAACCAGAGAAAGAAACAATACACTATTTCATCCATCATACAACTTCATGGAGGAATACCATTCTGATATTCACATCTCATTACTGAGAGTATGCAGGATCCACTGTAAGACCCCCATACCTTAGACCCCCACATTACTGATATTCTGTAGGATCCACTGTAAGATCCCCATACCTGGGACCCCTTTATTACTGAGATTCTGTAGGATCCACTGTAAAACCCCCATACCTTAGACCCACATTACTGAGATTCTGTAGGATCCACTGTAAGACCCCCATACCTCAGACCCAACATTACTGAGAGTCTGTAGGATCCACTGTAAAACCCCCATACCTTAGACCCACATTACTGAGATTCTGTAGGATCCACTGTAAAACCCCCATACCTTAGACCTCAACATTACTGAGATTCTGTAGGATCCACTGTAAAACCCCCATACCTTAGACCCACATTACTGAGATTCTGTAGGATCCACTGTAAGACCCCCATACCTTAGACCCAACATTACTGGGAGTCTGTAGGATCCACTGTAAAAGCCCCATACCTTAGACCCACATTACTGACAGTCTGTAGGATCCACTGTAACACCCCCATACCTTAGACCCCCACCTTACTGAGAGTCTGTAGGATCCACTGTAAAACCCCCATACCTTAGACCCCCACATTACTGAGAGTCTGTAGGATCCACTGTAAAACCCCATACCTTAGACCCCCACCTTACTGAGAGTCTGTAGGATCCACTGTAAAACCCCCATACCTTAGACCCCCACATTACTGATATTCTGTAGGATCCACTGTAAAACCCCCATACCTTAGACCCCAACATTACTGAGAGTCTGTAGGATCCACTGTAAAAAAACCATACCTTAGACCCCCACATTACTGATATTCTGTAGGATCCACTGTAAAACCCCCATACCTTAGATCCCCACATTACTGAGATTCTGTAGGATCCACTGTAAAAAAAAACATACCTTAGACCCCACATTACTGAGAGTCTGTAGGATCCACTGTAAAACCCCCATACCTTAGATCCCCACATTACTGAGAGTCTGTAGGATCCACTGTAAACCCCCCACATTACTGAGATTCTGTAGGATCCACTGTAAAACCCCCACATTACTGAGATTCTGTAGGATCCACTGTAAAACCCCCACATTACTGAGATTCTATAGGATCCACTGTAAAAACCCCACATTACTGAGAGTGTAGGATCCACTGTAAAACCCCCACATTACTGAGTCTGTAGGATCCAAGGTAAAACCCCCACATTCCTGAGAGTCTGTAGGATCCACTGTAAAACCCTTATACCTTAGACCTCACATTACTGAGAGTCTGTAGGATCCACTGTAAAACCCCCATACCTTAGACCTCACACTACTGAGAGTCTGTAGGATCCACTGTAAAAAACCCATACCTTAGACCCCTACATTACTGAGAGTCTGTAGGATCCACTGTAAAACCCCCACATTACTGAGATTCTGTAGGATCCACTGTAAAAACCCCACATTACTGAGAGTCTGTAGGATCCACTGTAAAACCCCCATACCTTAGACCCCCACATTACTGAGAGTCTGTAGGATCCACTGTAAAAACCCCATACCTTAGACCCCCACATTACTGAGAGTCTGTAGGATCCACTGTAACACCCCCATACCTTAGACCCCCACATTACTGAGATTCTGTAGGATCCACTGTAAAACCTAATCCACTGAGAAGACTAACTGGGTATAGTAGTCAAGACTGACCTGGTCGAGTGTTGTCTGGCTGACGGAGTAGCTCTCGATGCCCATTTCCTTCTTGCCACCCTCAATCTTGCCGAAGAGTCTAGCCAGGGAGATGGAGGAGGTTCCTAGTTGGTACTGCAACATGTTGTGGTGGCTTTCCTTCAGCACAGACTCGGGGAACTGCTCTCTGATGTAACGCTTCACAGGCTCCAGGTCGGGCTGACCTCCTGTCACCCTCAGGGTCACTGTGTACCCATTGCCGAACCTGCACGTTAATAGGGGTCATTACAGGCTCATATAACTCACAAGCTGTTTATACCATACATCAATGCTTGTAACGTATGCCTATGGACGGAAGAATTGGAGTGGACTTAATTAATAAAATAAGTTGAATTTGAACCTTGGCCCTTTGATAAGAGTGTCACAATCTAACTACATAGGAATCTGTCTATTACGGACTGGTCTGGGACCGACTCATTTGTCCAGATTGTAAAGCAGTCAGTATAAGACAACTTTTGTCCGTTACCGTAGACACTGCTCACGTTACCGTATATCTTGCATCAATACATACTGCCATGACACTTAATTTGTACTGATTTTGTATGGTCTCCCTATATCTTGCATCAACACATACTGCCATGACACTTAATTTGTACTGATTTTGTATGGTCTCCCTATGGAATCAAGCTGACGTGAGGTCATACTATCATACTGGTCATCTGGTTAATTCTATTGGCAAAATGAAATAATCCTAATAAACCTACTTGTTCATATAGTATTATGCAATGAGAGTAAATTTATTGGTTAGTGACAGGCAGTAGGGAAGTATTATCCCAAGTTATTACAATAATTTGAACATCAACTTATACATAGGTAGGCATATTATGTATTGTATTGTTATGTGAATCTTGTGATATATCTGTGAATAAAGACATTTCTAATCCTTAAACCACTGGGCTAGCCAAATGCTCTATCTTCAGAGATTACTACATGATGCTTGACCAAACTTATTTCACTCCATTAAACCCCACTTTACCACCTCTCAGCCTCTTATAGTATTGATATAGAAGATGTAATGCATCAGTATTTAAAGCTCTGTCAAATGACCCTGACATGAGTTTATACGTCTATGTTTAACACCACTCTTAGCAATATTCCAGTTATATGGTGGTAGTCTGTAAATTATCAACCGGATTGGACAATCCAGCAATCAGCTGCATGAGCATCTATCTATGCATTGGGAAACGATGACATGTGTCAGCCAAGTCCGCGAGCTGACCACCCGATCCCGTTAGTCGCCTGGGATGGGATCCTGATTGGGAGTTATGGTTGGTGAGGATGGACAGCGGGGGGGATTGGGACCAAGAGGGTGACGGATGGGAAGAGGGAGGGGGTTGTGTTTATATGAAAATGAAGGACAACTGGAGACAGCTCACCTGTTCTTGAGATGCTGTGTACTGCCGATACACTTGAACCTGCCGTTGACCATGATGGCCAATCTGCCACACAGTGCCTCACATTCCTCCATGCTGCAACAAGAAGACAACAACACTCAGAAACATCCTTCAACACCATCCTTTAATATCAGGGGCTTTCATTGGCATCAAGTACAAAGCAAAACCTGAAAACTGCTGAAAGTATTCATGTAGTTCCACGCGTTACAAATGTGTTAAACATGAAGTAAATAACACACTGGATTTTGGACAAGTGTTGTAATCGGCATTCAAACAACCTGATTGAATGAATGAGGTTGTATGCAATATTCAGTGTGGCACACATTGGTGTGCCCTTCATTTTTACCACTGTTAATTTTTCGGAAGAACGCACAAGCAAAAACAAGTTGACATAATGTCACCAGAATGATTTTACAAGTTTCTTTCACTGCACAGTAATGCCACTATGTTATGACAAACATGAAGTACTGTTGGCCATTTTGTCACCCGTAATCCAAACTGTCTCACCTGTGGGATGTTAGAATGATGGAGCGGCCATCCTTGATGATGCTGTTGATGCAGTTCCAAAGGAAGCGGCGAGCCTTGGGGTCCATGCCAGTAGTTGGCTCATCCTGGACAAGGTGAATGAATTTAATGTAAGTGAATTTGGTCTACAATCAGAATTTTGGGGTCAGCAGCTGCAAATACATTTCAGAGATGGAGAGTGAGAGTGAGGGAGAGTGAGTGAGCGAGTTTAGTTTTACACCGCACTCAGCAATATTCCAGCTATATGGAAGCGGTCTGTAAATAATTGAGTCTGGACCAGACAATCCAGTGATCAACAGCATGAGCATCTATCTACGCAATTAGGATACGATGACATGTATCAATCAAGTCAGCGAGCCTGACCACCCGGTCCCGGTAGTCGCCTCTTACGACAAGCATGGGTTACTGAAGATCAATTCTAACCCAGATCTTCATGGGTGAGTGAGAGAGAGAAGGAGAGAGGGAGGAAGAGAGAGGGATTGATGGAGGAGGAGAGGGAGAGTGAAATGGAGTGGAACAGGTGAAGGATGGGAAGAGGGAGGCGGATTGGGAGTTAGGGTGAGGGTGAGGGATGGGAAGAGGGAGGGGGATTGGGAGTTAGGGTGAGGGTGAGTGGGGTGAGAGATGGGAAGAGGGAGGGGGATGGGAGGAGGAGAGGGATTGGGGAGTTAGGTTGAGGGTGAGGGATGGGAAGAGGGAGGGGTTGGTAGTTAGGGTGAGGGATGGGAAGAGAGAGGGGGATTGGGAGTTAGGGTGAGGGTGAGGGAGAGGGTGAGGGAGGGAAGAGGGAGGGGATTGGAAGTTAGGGTGGGGGATTGGGGTTAGGGTGAGGGATGGGGAGGGAGGGATTGGGAGTTAGGGTGAGGGATGAAGAGGGAGGGGATTAGGAGAGGGTGAGGGATGGGAAGAAGGAGGGGGATTGGGAGTTAGGCCAAGGGTGAGGGATGGGAAGAGGGGGAGGATTGGGAGTTAGGGGTGGGGTGAGGGATGAGGGGGATTGGGAGAGGGTGAGGGTGAGGGATGGGAGAGGGAGGGATTGGGAGTTAGGGTGAGGGTGAGGGATGGGGAAGAGGGAGGGGATTGAGGGTGAGGGTGAGGGATGGGAAGAGGGAGGGGGATTGGGAGTTAGGGTGAGGGTGAGGGATGGGAAGAGGGAGGAGGATTGGGAGTTAGGGTGAGGGTGAGAGATGGGAAGAGGGATGGGGGAGGAGTTAGGGGGAGGGATGGGAGAGGGAGGGATTGGGAGTTAGGGTGAGGGATGGGAAGAGGGAGGAGGATTGGGAGTTAGGGTGAGGGTGAGGATGGGGAAGAGGATGGGGGGAGAGTTAGGGTGAGGGGTGAAGGGTGGGGATTGGGAGAGGGTGAGGGGTGAGGGATGGGAAGAGGGATGGGGATTGGGAGTTAGGGTGAGGGTGAGGAGAAATGAAGTAGAGGGTGAGGGATGGGAAGAGGGATGGGGAGGGAGGGTTAGGGTGAATTGAAGTAGAGGGTGAGGGAGTTGGGAGGGAGGAAGAAGAGGGATGGGTGGAGAGAGGTGATGGAGAGGGAAGGGGAAGCGGGTGTTAGAGGGTGAGGGAGTGGGGGAGCATGTGGAGAAAAAAAAAAAGAAGGGTGCAGGTAAGTGAGAGCGAGGGAGTAGGGGGAGCGTGTGGAAGAAAGGGGGAGAGAGAGAGAGAGAGGGGTACGGCTAAATGAGAGGGAGGGAGAGGGAGCGAGAGTGAATCAACCAGCGTGTTGGACTTACCAGGAATATAATGGGAGGGTTTCCGATAAGGGCGATGGCTGTGGATAGTTTCCTCTTGTTTCCACCGGAGTAGCTGCCAGCAACCACATTGGCATACTTCACCAGCCCCAGCTTCCTGATAGCCCAGTCTGCCACCTGCACACACACACCACATACAGCTTTCATAACAACTAGAAGTAGCAAGAAACCATTTCACCAGACCAAAATTATTTCTTGTTTTATGGATCCGCTGGTCATATTTTTCCAAGAGTAAGAAAAGACATAAAAATGAATTTTCCCCGCTCAAAAAATAAAATCCTAATGTTTCTATTGGCCAAAAATGTAAACTTACAAGAAATTGTTTTTTAGATTTACTTTTGGCAATTTATGAAGTGTATATGGGGCCAAAAAAACAAATACTTTTAGTATTTAAAAGGAATATTATATGACTGGTGATTTTTAATATTTTTTTCCCCCTCCTGCCTTGAGGGTTTTCCCGAGGACAAAAATCTGTAAAACAAGAAATAAAATTGGTCTGGCCTAATCAATAAAATCAATATGATTAGAATACCTTGCAAAATGTACATCTAATGCAGTATTATCATTTATTAACAAGTTCAAGACAATCCAGCTTACATCTTTGATGTTTTTCTCAGGTATGCCTCTGACTCGAGCGTAGAACTGTAGATGTTCTCGACCGGTGAGGAGGGAGTCCAGAGCATCAAACTGAGGGCAGTATCCCATCAGCTGCCGTACCTTCACCATGTCCTTCAGAATACTGCACAATGAAACATGGTTGTAGTGGATCAGGTCGCACACAGTCACATCAGACTTGAATTGTGATATGAAAATACTGATAATATGTAATGCTGGGGATTACAGTAAAGTAAAGTACAGATCTTAGTACTCTTTGGGGTTGACTCACATCTGGGATTCAAACCCAGGCACCTAATCTGGCTGACTGAGTTTGGTTTTTTACGCCGCTTTTAGCAATATTCCAGCAACATCATGGCGGGGGACACCAGAAATGGGCTTCACACATTGTACCCATGTGGGGATTCGAACCCGGGTCTTCTGGGTGACGAGCCAACGCTTTAACCACTAGGCTACCCCACCGCCCCAGGCACCTAATCACAAGCAATAGAAGTAAGCAACCTAATTCACTCTGTTACCACAGGTTCCACACAAATAGAAATCTGACGACTATTAGTCTACAGTCAAGTCATAATATATGATACATATTGAAAATGTTCACAATAAACACATATACAGTCAAATCCCGATGAGTCGAGTGCCGGTGTCTCGAATATTATGCATAACTCGAAGTATATGTCAGTCCCGACCATTCCCTGTTATAATTGTCATCATTCAAATACTGGTTACACGAATTCGTCTCATAAATACACACGATGACTCAAGAAGGAAATTTGGTCCCATGAGATTCAAACAACAGCAATCTTGTATACATAAGCCGAAGTCAGTCAATGAGAAGTTGATTGGTGTAGCAAACTGATCCAATTAACAAACCAGCGCGGCTCACACCTTTCCGCCATTGACGGGTGAGTTCAAAAGGTAGATTAGTGATTTTACGGAATTCACTGTCTGTGCTAATCAGACTGGAACTGATAAGGTGTCCCTATTAGTGATATGGAAATCATTAGATAAACAAATGCTTTGGCAGAGGAATTAGGACTGGATCATCATTTTTTCTACCCTCATAGACATACCTTTGTCTCGAATACATCGATAAGTCGAATTTATTACTTGGTCCCCAGCGATTCGACTCAGTGATTTGACTGTACTTACTAGTTTGTTTGTTCAACAGACAAAACAAACATGGTTCAAGACCTCATAATTATTTTCAATTTGATATATATCATTTTACACAGAATATCATGACACAGAATATGAATGTTAGAAAAATTTGATCAATTCCATATATTCATTAGTTGACTAGTTTCCTGATACAGTGTGTGAGACTTTGTTTTTTTATTGCTGAACGATGTTCACTGATTTTATTTCAGTCTACATATACTTTGCAGTACTGATCAAATTTGTAGTCTGTGAGGTTCCTGTTTTTGACTGTTTTATTAATAAGATAAACCACAGAGTTATTTATAAGGTTTCCACATTAAGCCCACAGTTCCCACTATTGCATCCCAAAACACAAAAGATAAAGAAGTCAAATCTCAACGATACCACTGACAACAACAATGAGGCTTGTACCTCATTTCACTGACAGCTGCCGAGCCACTCGTGACGTCCACATCTCCTGTCAGCATCTTGAATGTGGTTGTCTTGCCTGCTCCGTTGACACCCAGAAGACCAAAACACTGCCCCTTTGGCACGCCCACACACAGTCTGTCTACGGCTGTCAGGCTCCCCTTCTTCCCAGGGGTCCAGTAGGTCTGAACAGAGAGAGAAAGACAGTGGTATCGTACATGTCATTGACAGGCCAAACATGTTTGATCCAACAAGAAGACAAAGTCATCAATATCCCCCGCAATGGCAAAATATTCTTCATGATTATGTCTACGAGTTATGATTATGTCAAATATTTAGGTGTGTATATAGAAAAGTGGAAGGAGAGTATTGAAAGGTTTTTAAAGTTCTGCTCGAAAAAGGAGCACTATCACCAATTTCAGCCTAAGTCAAACTTGTAACCATGGAAATGCCAAAAGTATTTTATTCAGAAATCCAAAACAACCAAAAGGCACCAGTACACCACCAGACCAATCTATGTGCCAAGTTTGGTGAAGAAACATTGAACGGTTTTAGAGTTCTGCTCCGGAAAAGAGCACAACCACCAATTTCGGTCTAAGTCAAACTTGTTGCCATGGAAACGCCAACAATATTTTATTCAGAATTCCAAAACCACCAAAAGGCACCAGTACACCACCAGATCTATCTGTGCCAAGTTTGGTGAAGACATATTGAGCGGTTTTAGAGTTTGAAAAGTGAAGAAAGTCAAAGTGAACGTTGCCATGGAAACGCCAAAAATATTTTATTCAGAGTTCTGCTACCAAAAGGAGCACTACCACCAGACCAATCTATGTGCCAAGTTTGGTCAAGAAACATTGAACGGTTTTAGAGTTTGCTCGGAAAATGAGCACAACCACCAATTTGGTCTAACAATATTTTATTGAAACGCCAAATTTTATTCAAACCACCAAAAGGCACCAGTACACCACCAGATCTATCTATGTGCCAAGTTTGGTGAAGACATATTGAACGGTTTTAGAGTTCTGCTCCGGAAAAGAGCACTACCACTAATTTCAGTCAAAGTCGAACTTGTTGCCATGGAAACGCCAAAAATATTTTATTCAGAATTCCAAAACTACCAAAAGGCACCAGTACACCACCAGATCCATGTATGTGCCAAGTTTGGTGACGAAATATTAAACTGTTTTAGAGTTCTGCTCCGGAAAAGACAAATGTGCACGGACGGACGGACCGACGGATGGAGTCCATTTTAATACCCCCCGCAAAATGCGTTGAGGGGGATAATAATATCAGAACTTCACCAATGGGCTATAGAACAATATGTGAGAGGCACTGTGAGTGAGTGAGTGAGTGAGTCGGGTTTTACTCTGATTCCAGCAATATTACAGCCACATCACAACAGGTCATTGTTCACACATTAGTGAGTGAGTGAACCGGTGGTTCAAATCCTATCGAAACATTAAAAGGTCTCAGACATTTACACCTTTGGTGAAACCCATGAGCATGGGTACTGGGCTAACGAACCCAGAAACATACTTGATTCCAGTCTTACCTTGGTGAGGTTCTCCAGCTTCAAAGTGTCATTGTTTGCCCCCCCTGACATGACCCGCTGACGTTCCCGAGCCACATCAATGTCCTCGTTGGTCAGTGGAGTGGTTGCTCCCTTTACCTTCCTGTAACATAGACAGGTGTCCACACAGCTTCAACACACAGCAACTCCATGTAACCCAGTGGTAAATGTCTATGGTCTCAGATATATATAGTCCATTGCTCAGTCAAGTGACTAAGTGAAATAACTAGAATAGGAAAACCTATTAATTCTACACTATCCTCTGACTAATGTACAAGATAATGCATCCAAACCTGAAAATTAAGGCAATTCAATGCAATGTGTAACAAATCTGTTTAAGTAAAATCTGATGTTTCATACAAACAAGGTTCATTCATGTTGCTATCCCTACAGTCATCTCTACCAAACAAAATGAAACTCTCTCCAAATTACTTTTCCGGAAGGAATTCATGCATAAATGTATAAAAAGTTGCATCGAAGTAAATATGTCTGATGAACTTCTCTAATGGTGAGTGAGTAAGTTTAATTTTACACCCCACTCAGCAACATTCACTAATACACATCTGGGCAAGTCAGTAAACATTGGAAGAAAGTGCATTGTGACAAGGACATAAACTGCTCTCAAAGATTTGGAACTGAAAAAAAATAATTAGAAATACAATCCAGGGTTAAAACCCACATAAGATTCTCTCACATGAAAGGGATGCAACTCTGCACAGTGGAGTGAAGCATCTTTGACAGCTTTGTTTGTTTGCACTCAGCAATATTCCAGCTATATGGCGGCGGTCTGTAAATAATCTAGTCTGGACCAGACAATCCAGTGATCAACAGCATGAGCATCGATCTACGCAATTGGGAACTGATGACATGTGTCAACCAAGTCAGCGAGCCTGACCACCCAATCCTGTTAGTCGCCTCTTACGACAAGCATGGGTTACTGAAGATCAATTCTAACACGGATCTTCATGGTTAACTTCTCTAATGGATGCTTATGAGCCCTAGATTGAGATGTTTGCTGTAGGACTCACCTTGGTTTGATGAAGAACCTGTACTCTATTAGCAGGTTGAAGATGAAGAATACGATACCCAGGGCAAACATGGCAAACAAGTTGCGGCCAACTATTTTCCAGTCAAACAGGTTGTACTCCAATGTCTCACCTGGAAAAAATGCTCACTAGTAAGAGGTTTGATGAAGTGTCATGTTTTAAATGCCACACTCTTATATTTAACAGTAGCCTATAGATAATTGAATGTTGACAAGATGATCCACTGACTGATACCATGAGCACCTTTCCACACAATCAGAGCACATGGACACCCCATCAACAAAGTAACCATCCTGACCACAAAACCCAAGCTACTTTGCATGACAAGCATAGAGACAAATTCTAACCCAGAATCGACCACCTCCGCGGTGTAGTGGTTAGAGCGTCTGCCCAGAGAGCGGAAGGTCACGGGTTCGATACCCAGGCACGTCATACCAAAAGACGTTAAAATATGGTACTTGTTGGTCCCTGATTGGCGATTGGCATTAATGGGTACAACAAGGACTGGTTGGCTCGGAGTCAGAATGATGTGTCTGAGTGGTGTATTCATGCATAACTGCAGCATGGTATCTCAGTGGGCTAGCACAATAAAACCAACTTAAGTCTGGGCTAGTACAAGCAGTCACACACACATGCACATCGTCATATGAGCAAAATTTTCTTAACTGTGATATTAACCCCCTTGATGCCGATTTTTTTTTCAGGCGCACATCTTCAAACGCTTTGAAAAGTGAACGTTGTGCAAGAATTGCGCTCGCGTGGTCCTGGATCTACGTACGGCTATAAAATTACACAGAAATGTAGAATATTAAATTTCCTATCCGTTGGTATAAATATAAGTGCAACTACCTCGGCGGTTTGAGAAATAGACCTTGCTAAATGTTGTCCAAATTTTTGTTATGCGTTAAAAAACAGTAAATTTCTCCGCTTTTTATCACACACCGATAAAAGCACTGTGCTACGAATTTTTTATTTTGGCATCTTAACGGAAAGTGTGAGCGAAGAAAATACAGCCTGTTATCTGAATGACATAAGTGTATATGAATTGGATTTATGTGCTTATGCCTAACATTATGCGCTCAACATTAAAATGACTGCGCTAATAAATGTCAAAATGGATTTTTTCTCTCTGACGTCAAACAACGACAGAGAGGTCATACACGAATAATGATAAGGGGCATAACTCCATTATGCTTAATACTAGGTCAATGTAACTCAGATCACATGGAGAGTATTTGTTGTGGATAAGGACGCCATATTTTCGTTATTTTATGTTCACGGTGAACCAAACTATTCCAATTCAAAGTTCCCCAATACGAGCGGATCACGCTTTGGTAGTTTCACAATTTATAAGAAAAGATGACAACGTACTACATGTGAAAGCACGTAATAGCGATTTGGAAGGCCCTATCCGATATATAAGTTAGTTCTTAGATTCCCATATTCCCCTGTTTGTGTAGATGTATTTTGACTAATTTTGCATCGTTATTACCAGAGTACTAGCCATATCTTCAAATGTAATGAAATTGCTGAAAATAATACAACATTTTAGTTGACGTCATTGCTTGTTTTGTGCATTTTGCGATGTCGGAAAAAGACGACATTGGTATGCTGATTCTCACCTAATTTCCGTTAATTGTGTGAAAGGTCTCGGCTTCTTTGTCAGAATTAACACTCTTTAAACAAAACAAAAAAATGACTGGTTTTTCCATTTAAATAGTGTCCTGAATATATCAACAATTAGACAGCTTGACTGTGTATCTTATCATGAGCAACATGGGCACCTGTTTGGCATCAATTTAACGTAAATGAAAAATAACACCCGAATATTTTGTTTAGGATAAGAATTTTCTTTATTTATGATTATGTAGCTATTTCTCTTCATAAGTATGCAATGGAAGATGCAAAAAAGATAGCTTTTTACATATGGATCTACTACGTACTATATATTAGAATATGGATGCAAGATTTGTCTAAATTAAGACATGACATGGTTTATATATTTTTAAACAATTTTTGTATAAATATAGTTTGATATCCTATCATCACAAAATTTTAAATTTGAATATGAATTGATTATATTATCGAAAACAATGATAGTGAATCATAAAACGTTTCCGACAAACGCGCACCTGGTCAATCAATATACATCATTGTTTTCTCTCTAAAACGACACAAAAAATGTGCAAAGAACAAGACAATTCCTTTAAATGTGTGTGCATATACATTTCATAACATACATAAATCATTTTCATTAAATATTATCAGTTTCACTTATAAGGTTTAATCAAATCGCCGTTCATTAACCTGTTCATGTGAAACTGCAATATTAGTTCAAATGCATTGAATATTGTACATCATAGGAAGTAAAGTAATTGCAGTTATGGCTATGTTTGATCTTCTAACACTTGTGTAAAGGTTTAGAATATAATGTACTGCACTAAATGTGTCAATTTCTTTTGTAAATATTATTCAAACAATCAAAAACTTTCAAAGAATAAAACACCATAAACCCTATATGCAGGTATGATATGATATTGGACAAGGCTAAATATAGATACTGAGGTCAGTTTCATCAAAAAGTCTCTGAACTATCCCCAAAATATACATCATAATACTGACAGTGTAATCTGAAGGATTGGGTGATTGTGTTTACTCTTGTTCAACCGACCTTCACCTCAAAGAAATTGCCTAATATGTACAACAATGTTGACGTATGACATCAGTACCGATGACCTATTTCTTACAAAATGGCGGGTTTGCTGACAAGGATACACAGGATTTTGCGAGGACCCTCCCATTGATTCAGTGATCGTTTGTACATAAATATGACATGTAAGTAATCAGAATGATTCTGACTATCTGTGTATTGTTATATGTTTTTATCGTTTTCAATGTGAGTAAGAGAAGAAGCCAGAAATGCTGATAATTACACTTGTCGTTCTGCGTGGTTTTGTGTCAGTCATGGCGTCACGCTGCACGGAAACTTTGACAATTTCTTATGAATTATCAAATCATTGCATTTTATGTATTTATAATTTCTTATTTCTTACTACGATACTCTTTCCATGCATATTCCAAAGGTATTGAGCCATTGCAAGCAATGAATAGACGGATGAATGTTTGAAAATTTCAGAAAATGCTACGCAGTGTAAAATCGGAATTTGTCTTTGTTTACATTCGAACCAGCACAGTCTTTTCGAGCACAGCGTTCGTTTTCACACCCAATATGTTTCGTCTCATTTTATCTGGACAGTTTGTATTGGTAACAAAGACCAGTTGAAATTATATTCTAAAATGTATGGGGAATTCAGTGATGCATTTTTCGAAGCTGAATATGAAATATACGTGATGTAATAGGTGTCTCAATACCGGCCTTCGCGAAACGTGATTTTGTAAACTCTATCCAATATGGAGGAAAGCGCTCTACGGCGTTCGTGTAAGTGTATTTTCGAAAACATCCCAACTGATTCTAGATTCATCGGCAACATTTCAGAATTATCATTAGCGATTTCATGTAAAAGTGATATCAGTGTTCATCAATATGAAATTTTTGAAATTCAATACTCCCAGTAATTATCCGATTTTCACATTTCAAAACATACAACAAATAACGCTGTGAATTGCGATTTCGTACTGTGTCAAAAATGACGACATTTTCGATGAAGCCTATTTTGAAAGGTCATTTTCAGCACTTGAGCTTTGTCTAAAATAATAGTGGATGGTATCAAGAAACAGGAAATTTCCCACAGAATTCGAAACTGTGAAGTGTATTTGTGTGCGTGGGATATTTTGATTTTTATTGGACTTGAAATTGAGGGTTGAAGGGGAAGGACATATATGTCCCTGTGGCATCCAAGGGGTTAAACCCCAATTCGCCTCACCCAATCTAACCTAGAATCACCTAGAGGATCACTAGTCAGGGTCATCAGACATTGTGTTTGTGGGACAGGGTTTGGATTAATGTTGGTAATAGGGACAGGCAAGAGGCAAACTTGAAGAGGCAGGTTCATACTCAGGGTCAGTTCTCTAAGGCTTGGTCCAGGTCAGTGTTTTGGAAGCAGGGTCAAGGTCAGAATCAGTACTTAAAGGAAAGGGTTTGCTTCAGTGATGAGCTAAACATTCAAGCCATTGTATCCTCTATTTGTGATATCATTACAACAGTCTGATGAGTACAAGACTCAAGCTTCAACATTCATTTGTAATGAAAATATAGTCAGCTTTACAACCATCTGCATAAACATTCAATAATGATGCTCTGACATACCAAATCTAGAGATGATATCGGCCTGCAGCTTGTAGGCGGTCATGTCCATCAGTCCTCGGCCCAGACAGTAGTGGGGCATGATCAGGAAGGCCTGTTTCAGTATCTTGTTAATGTCCGCAAGACCCTACAGTGGCAATGGGAAAGAGTAAGTGCATAAGAAACTGATCCATTTTTTTTAATGTGAGGCACAATAACATCATTTAATCAAAGATCATCAATCATGCCATCAATCATGCCACCAATCACATGCCATCATCATGATGGCAAAGAGAAACATTAATAATTTGTTCAAAAAAGAAAGAAAACTGAACATGTTCATTATAAATTGAATATTTATAATTTAGTTATCCTATCTCACATTATGCACTTTCCATTTTTCAGCCTCTTGTAACCTGGGATGAGAATGAAGTTTTGAGAAAAACTCTGAAAACTAGCCAGGGGTCTAGGGGCAACAGATTTAGACGATTCATGAAAATGACCTTTGGCCTTATGAAATTCCCGGAATTCCGCGGATCCGCAGAAAATTCTCATTCCTGTGTAACATCCCAGCTACAGTTATTGTTGTATGTCACCACAGGAAGTTCGTGCAAAGTGTGCATCTTGTCCTGACTGATCAACACCCAACTAAAGTCATTCACTTGTTTTGGAGCTGGAACCAATCTTGTAATCTTGTAGACTAGAACTTGTGATACATCGTTTCAGAAACCACTTAGCAATACTTTACACAAACTCTCAGGGAGTGGGCGTTCAGAGTCGCTTGATTTATTGCCGTATCATTGTCAAGGGACAATCATGAAGCTAGGAGACAGGAATCCCTGCTCCGTCCTCATTTTTAACAGGCCCAAGAATATAAAGACCTGCCATTGGGTCAAAATAAGGTTCAGCTTCTTAATGTTGACTATCTAACCAAGCTGATGTAACAATTGGAAGGTGGAAAATAATTGTTTTAATTAGGAGAGAATACTTTTATGAGTGTTTATTCACCTAGAATACCTTCAAATAGAAGTAAAAGTCTGTTTTTCAATGAAAATACTGACTGACTGACTTACGTACAGTAAAGCAAAACAAAATTACAGTACAGGCCTAAAATACTGACACTTCCAAGAGCACTGGTGCAACTCGACAAAAACATGAGAAATATTTTAGCATCTTTGCCTTTATATTAGGATCAACCAGGAAACTAGAAACCTGAAACTTTTGGGGTGACTTTCCCACAGATCTGGTCACGATAACTAGGTACTGTAGTGTTGAACAAAACACAAACTTTGAACCAGACTAAACTCACTTCATCGTCCTGCTCAAACACCTCCAAGATGAAGGTTGCCAGGGTTGATACAGTTCCCAGGAACACGTTCACACACGACAACGCAACAAAGGCCGAACTTGGTACAGAGAACAACCGAGCAAACGGGTACATGAGGGGGATGATTGCAAACCTGAAACAACATGTGTAAAGATGTTACTACTGAACCACTCATGATGTCACAGAGCTCCAGGTAAGATTTAGCTCAGGTGGGTACTGTACCCACTGTATTATTTTGGAGTGGGTATTATGAATGTTGAGTGGGTATTTCATTTTCCGTTACCCACTGCTTTCAAATTTGTGTGTATTTCAGTCATTTTACTCACCTAAGTATATGTCATTGAGTAAGTTTACTAAGCAGGTTTTTCAGTGCGTAATTGGAAATTTTCTATGCTTATTTTATCCGGATTCGCAGCTTATCTGGGCCTCTGATGTCATCAGGTCAATAGAGAGTATCAGAGTATCACAGATTGCATTACTAACAGTCAGAGGAATATAAAAGCGGTGTGCATGTTTTTATATCTGATCCAGACAAAGAGTGAGTGTTGTTGTTTTTAACTCAGCAGTCAACAACTACACTACAGTGAGTCACAGAGTCTAGGCGAGACAAACAATTGACCAATGGCAATCTTGATACAAATGCAGACACACATGGTACTCTTAAACATGCATTAGGGACAGGAGTTCATTCAGCAATAGTTTCACACGTTTCTGGGGTTGTGGTGTGGTGTGGTGTGGTGTGGTGTGGTGTGGTGTGGTATGGGTGCATGGTGTGGTGTGGTGTGGTGTGGTATTGGTGCATGCGTGCGTGCGTGCGTGTGTGCGTGTGTGCATGTGACACATGGTGTAGCCATATTGGAGCAACCTGTATATAATCCATTCAGGGCCATACAAAACAGTAGGTTATATTATGAGCACACCCAATGAACCAAATACAAGGTCTGACCACCTGGTCCAACAGTCAACTGTTATGCCCAGCAATCCAGGGTTGGTGACCTTTTTGGCCAAGGGTTCCACATGATCCCTCTCCTAGGGCATCAGTTGGCCACTACCAACATGAGCAGAACAGGACATCATGCTTACCCATAAAGGAAGAGTAGAGCCACAAGACATGGGGCATGGCCAGGGCCAACATAAGCCTCCTTGTTGAAGCACAAGAATATTATAAAACACAGCAGTGCAGGAATAAGGTAGTTCATCTGAAACAGGAAAACTTTACAATGTATCTGACAGACAGTGTTTAACAACAAAATGTATTTAAAAATCTGTGCAATCAAAATAACCTGATCATTTACCACCCTACATGACCCCACAGTTATTACAGTCCCCCTGGGATGTGAGGCCCAGTAATATCATAGTCACTTCCTGAAGGAGCCATTCCTTGTCATACTAACTTCTGGGGTATCAGAAAAACAACAGCAATCTAACATCCTATATGTCAGTTGGTGATTGAGCTGGGTTTTACACCACTCTTAGCAACGGTTCTGCAATATTTCATGGACACTGAACATGAGTTTCTCACATTGAATACAAGTATGGAATCAAACCTACACTTTGTTGATGCGAGAAACAAATTAAACAATAGGTCCCCACTCCTGTTATTCCATGACGGATTAAATATAGTCCTATGAACTGACTGACTGACTGAGTTTGGTTTTACGCCGCTTTTAGCAATATTCCAGCAATATCACGGCGGGGGACACCAGAAATGGGCTTCACTCATTGTACCCATGTGGGGATTCGAACCCGGGTCTTCTGCGTGACGAGCCAACGCTTTAACCACTAGACTACCCCACCGCCCCCAGTCCTACGAAAGAATTAGGTGTTCTTTAACTAAATTTAACTGCCATATAAATCAAATGAAGTGTAACTGCTACTCACCATATCCCAGGTGAAGTTGGCCACCCAGTAGATGGTGGGGTTGATGCCGCTGACAAACTGCAGGTGCTTGCTGTTGGACACTCTCTCCTCAATCAGCACCAGCACAAAGCTGGCTGGGATGAAGGACATGGCAAAGATGACACAGATGGCCACCAGGACGTCTATGGCACTGTTCATGCTGGAAGGGGAAGAGTGACATGTGATCAACAGATGTGATATGTGGTCAACAGGAAACAGTGAGATGGAGAGATGGTCAAGACAACACATCATAAAATATATTGTCAGTCTGGTCAAGATGACGCAGATGGCCACCAGGTAGTCTATAGCACTGTTCATGCAGGAAGAGAGGAGATGATGGTAAAAATGACGTAAAACGTAATGGCGTTCAAGATGAGTTGCTGTTAGCTATAACCTGGGCCTTCTTCCACAGGGAGATCTTAGTGCAGAGATTGTATACGCTGCTGCAAGGATATGGGAGATATGACAGCTGTAATGTTAAATGTTAATGTTAATGTTTTCTGATAGTTAATGACGCTGTGGAAGAACAGCTCAAAGTAAGGCAGTTAATTTAAATGCAACCTGCATAATTACAATGCTGACAGACAAATGGTGGCAATTTGGACAAATCTGATATTTGAATTTGGAATCATGATATCCTGGAACAGTCATGGGACACAACTCTTTATTCTTCCAAGAGTTGCTATTTGGGTTATCTGATTACTCAAGATTGGGGTTATCTAATAATCTAAGAGCAGTTTTTTGCTATGAATAGGGTAAGGAGAAATATCCAGATCTCCAAAGAAATAATACTGAAAATAATATCGTATGATACATACATTGTTTCATCATTCAGTTGTTCCTGGGTATAGTTGAGTGGATGGTTGATGGTGGTGATGCCAAAGTTACTGGGGTCCTTAGAGGAGGGGAGATAACTGCGCAGGATGACATTGTTGAGAGAGTTCATATAGGCCACGACAGCTGCCCATCCCTTGTTGTTGAACCATACCTACAGGAGACAGAGAACATATTCTAGAGAGTTAGGATGTTTCAGACCAGTCAGGAAAATAGATAATAAAGTCCTGGCAGTCTCTCTCATGGAAATATCTATATTTTGGTAGCAACATTCAGGCAAGGATTTTCACAAGAAATTTACTGGCATCAACAAAAGTTTCAACGTTAACCAAGAAGACATTTACTAAAAAAGAAGACTTGATTTGGTTATTCACAGAAATAGCAATTTGAGATATACCTTAGCAATGTCCTGCCGGACAAATCTCTTGAATAAATCATCCAGGTCCTGCCATATTGTCTCGTTACCATCGACAACAGCAGAACCGTTATTGGCTGCTCTTCCGAGTCGGTCAATGATGTTCACTATTTGTGTAGAATTCAGCTGAGCTACAGGGTTCTTGTCTCCAAAACTGAAGCCTCCGTATCTACAAGTAACATGAAAAAAAACCTGACTTCAAGGTGACATCGGAGGAGATGGAAACACACTGGACTATCCTTCAACCAACTCAGAGATACAAGTCAAGGGGTTCTCATCACAGGCCATAACATTTAAGGTGTCCTTGGATTTAAATACCATATTTTCTTGCGTATGTGCACACTTTCCCCAAAAAGCATATCTCTGTGCATTTTGCATGTAATAATGAATTCTGAAATTAATCTCCATGTAAAAGTATAGAAGTAGTGACTGAGTATAGTATTACTCCGTTTTTAGCAATAGTCAAGTAATATCACTGCCAGGGACTGAAATAGTCGAGCCGCCTCGTGGTGTAGTGTAGTAGAGAGCTGCTTCGAGAGCCGGAAGGTCGGATTCGATCGGTCGCGCCCTACCAAAAAGACGTTAAAATATGGTACTTGTTGGTCCTTGCCTGGCGCTCGGCATACAACAATGGGTACAACAAGGACTGGTCGGCTCGGAGTCAGTATGCAGCATGGTATCTCAGTGGGCTAGCACTATAAAACCAGCTTCAGTCTGGGCTAGTACAAGCAGCCGCACATACACATGCACGCACGTCGTCATATGAGCGTAATATTCTCAAGCACAACGTTAAACCCAATTTCACCTCACCTGAAATAGTCTTCACACATTGTATCCATGTGGGAACCTGGGTCTTTGGCATGATGAGTGAACGCTTTAACCATTAGGCTACCCGACAATCCTTAACTGGTATAATATTCTCAACCCCCAAGCAGTTTCACTCTAATAGCACACATTGCCTGACTTACCTTCTCTTGATATACTGCTTCATGGTTTTGACTAGCCAGTCGCTGGTGTTCCGCCCTGTCATGTTGTAGAGGTAGTCTGTTGTCGGGAGGTAGGTCTGGGAAGGGGTGGGGCCACCAGCACCTGGATCAAAGTGAGTAAGTGAGTGGGTTGGTTTCAATCTGATCTAAACAATAGGAGATTGATTGGTAAGTGCAAAAACCAAGCAATCGAACACCAAGAGTGATGACAATGAATTTAAAAAACTTAATGCGCTGAATTTGTGTTTGTTAGGTGTGATCACACTTTTCTAAACTTATCAAGTTGATACTAACCAATTTATTTTGATGATCACTCTTTTGGATTCTCCAATCCTAATACTCAATTTTACAGATCTTTGCACTATACAGAGTTCATTTAAATGAGCTAACAGCTCTAGTACACATCTGGGCAAGTCAGTAAACATTGGGAGAAAGTGCACTGTGATGAGGTCTTAGACATAAACTGCTCTCAAAGACTTGGAGCTGAAAACAACAATTAGAAATGCAATTCAGGGTTAAAACCGACATAGGATTCTGACACATGAGAGGTATGCAACTCTGCACAGTGGAGTGAAGCATCTTTGACAGCTTTGTTTGTTTGCACTCAACAAAATTCCGGCTATATGGTGGCGATATGTAAACAATGAAGTCTAGACCACACAATCCAGTGATCCACAACATGAGCATCGATCTACGCAATTGGGATACGATGACATTTGTCAATCAAGTCAGCGATCTTGACCACCCGATCATGTTAGTCGCCACTGATGACAAGCATGGGTGCTGAAGACCAATTCGAATCCTGATCTTCACCGGTTCATCAGAGACTGCACACAGAGAGAGTTGTTTTACCTGGTGGACACTCCTGGACTCCAGAGGCACAGGAACAGGATGGAGAGTCTATGGACAGGTTTCCGGTCAGCTTCGGTCGTGCCGTCCATTTTCCCACTGCATCTGATGGCTCACATGGCATCCCACTAGAATCACACACCATCAAACCAGAGTGAAGAATGACCGGAAATAAGCTGGCCCCGTCTCACTTATCTCTAGCTGGCACGTGTAAAGGGAGTCGGGACCCAGTTTAGTACCAGAAATAGTAGCGCCTCGAGAGACTAACAGGCCCTATAAATGATACACTGAATCACTTTACTCTTACCTATGCATCACTTTTTGTTATTGGGAATTACTGTTTATCAATACATTTGTGTAGGTACCAGAAAACAATACAGTCTGAAGAATCATAATTAGGGTGAATGATCATATATATTCAATACTGTAACCTTAAGTAAAATTTCTAGTTTTAAGCTAGGAAAATCATTGAGTTTCAATCCTTTACCAACATTGTTGTGACAAATGAAAATAGTTGCATTATTTACCTGATTTGATAGACCGACGAGTTCATACATCTTGTTCCTAAATAGGGCTTGGACAGGAGGGTGCTTTCCAGTTTGTCTGCGAGGGTTGTACCAGGGTCATCATTACTGCCAATCAAAACACTGTCATAAAGGGACTTGGCGCCATGGGCTGATGCCCATAAAAGGATAGGTATAGGGGTGACCGGTATATCCATTGTAACAAGTGCCATGCACAACACACTGACATTGTGTTTAAGTATTGAAGGGAATCATTAAGGATTTGTTTGAATGTGTCGCTGTGCTACATACATAAAGCCAAACAGGGACTTATCTGGCATTCAAGAGCTTTTGACTGGCAAATTTTGAAAATGTGACATTGTTTACAATTGGATTATTTCATTGTTCTTATCTTCAGAAATTATGAGGAATAGGGAAATATTTAATTCAAACTGAGAATTTCTCTGCCATCTACAGCAGACTTACGCCAAAGTGACATATTGTGACAACCCCTATTGTCTCCTTGTATCTTTACCATCTCTGCCTTTCAGAAGAGCTTTTTCATGAAGCAGAGATTACATTTCTTAAGCTGAATCAATTTACAGGGAGTGAGTGAGTAAGTTTAGTTTTAAGCCGCCCTTAGCAATATTCCGGAAATATCACAACAGGGGACACCTGAAATGGTCTTCATATATTCTATCTATGTGGGGAATCAAACCAGGGGCTTGGTGTGACGAGTGAACGCTTTAACCACTAGGCTACCTCACCGCCTCTAAATTTACAGCTACAAGTATCAATGTAGTACACACCTGTAGAACATGAAGAGGTGATCGTCGCCCTTCTGGGGCACATAGAGCCAGGGGTGCAGCTCCAGGGCTGGTTCCGCCTGGAAGGGGGGCAGGATAAGGGCAAACACCATGGCCAGACACACAAACCCTGCCGGCAGGATGATCTGAAACGATACAGTTTGTCTCATTGAATTTATGACTTCTCTCCTATTCAACTGTTTGTTACTGCCTGTCATCTCTTGAATATTATTACATTCCTGATTCACTACAATAACAGACATGTGTTATTATTTCAATTCAAACAGATGGTTGATTTACGTTTCCATTCAACTGGATATGAAAATGGTGATGGTAAGGTATATTATAGAAGAGCAGGGATCTTGACATTGGGGTTAAGGGAACATTTGGGGGTAGCCAAGACACAATGAAAGAGTGGCTTAGCCCAAAAAAGTATCACATATATGGGAAAGGAGCAGGTTGGGGGGCAAGAAAAAATAGCAAGCAAAATATTGTAGTTCTAGTCCTAGGACCAATCTCACCATTGCTTCCCCCAAACAAATGACCAGTCCCTAACTTAAGTGTAGTACAAACAAAATCTCCGTAGACAAGTCTCTTAAGGAGGTCTCCAGTGCTAACAACTTATACTTGTCTAAAGATGGATTGGTACCACAGCATACGTTCTGATATCCTTAGCCTATTGGGCAGGACTATCGGACTAACAGACTCCTCCTTTGACAATAATGACAAACAGACAAACAAACCCACCTCACACACAAAGCCCTTCTTGCTACGGCGAACACGGTGGAAACGCTTTATGAAAAGTGCCCAGAACTGACGTCGTTTGAGGGTCCATCCTGATAGCTTTGTCTCTGACTCGGCACAGAAACCTGGATCACTAGCTTGTTCTGATGTCTCATCTGAAACAAAGAGCAGACGCGTGGAGATAGACTTTCATGCAGGTGTAATTAGTGAATGCTGGACGTTAGATTCCAGTGAGAAGGTGAAACAGTAGATCGTATTTCAGACATATAAAGCATGTGACCTTGCAGAAGTGGAGAAGCTATGATGAAGTAGTTAGACAAGAAAATTTACGACTTTGTTGAAAACCCACAAACATTGGCAGGTGGAGACACACCAGAAAACATAATAACTTGAGATTTAAACTGTCAATCAGGTTTCCTGGACACCTAAGGGCCTTAACTCTGCACATAGAACAGCAGTGCCTCAGACAACTGGGCCATGCGAATTTCAGCTTGACACAGTGTGCAGGACCAGATATGAGGTAGCGGATGATAAACACTGCTTGAGAGGTGGTTGTTTCCTCTACTTAAAAAATAGGGTTTTTGTTTCAGTGTGAATGATGACTGTGTCCTTTTAGAATTAGTGAGTGAGTGAGTTTAGTTTTATGCTGCACTCAGCAATATTCCTGCTATTTGGCGGCGGTCTGTAAATAATCGAGTATGGAACAGACAATCCAGTGATCAACAGCATGAGCATCGATCTGCGCTAATTGGGAACAGATGACATTGTCAACCAAGTCAGCGAGCCTGACCACCTGATCCCCGTTAGTCGCCTCTCTACGACAAGCATCGCCTTTTGTGCCAAGCATGGGTTGCTGAAGACCTATTCTACCCCGGATCTTCACGGGTCCCTTTTAGAATGAAGTCGAGACTGGACAACCCTGTGACCGATATTGTGAACCATTACACTGCTCGGGAACAATGACATGATTTAAACTATGCTTTAAACTAAGTCATGAAACCTGTCCACCGAATCCATTTGGTTGTCAAGGCACACCAAGTTATTGTGGCTTTCCCATCCTTACGAGGTACCCATTCACAGCTGGGTGGACTGGGACACATAGTCACAAGACTTTGTCCAAGTTTACTGCACCTTACTGTACCGACAACTAGGTGTATTACAACCAGCATAGGTTGATAGAGATCTTGTCTATCCTAGAATTCCCTCTGGATTAGGACTCATGGAAACTTTAGAAAGCAGACATTTATATAACAGGAGCACCACACATGAAGATCTTACCACACACCATCAGCTGCAGAACAAAGCTAGACTCTCATGCACAGCCAATGCTTCAAAGCAGGTAGACATATACAGAAGTCTAAAGTTTAGAATACAGCAGAAGATATGGCCTGATGATTGTCACTACATCCCATCACACAAGTCATGGGCATTTGCCTGACATTTATACTGCAATTGACTGCAATAATGTTTCATTGTATTATGATACACATACATTGCATGCATTTGTGTAATTTGTAAAAATAGGCAAATACAAATAGGCAAATGATAATTAAGAATTCTTGCACACATTTTTTTCAACCTTTCATTCATATGCCATTATAGTCAAATGTCACTTTGGTTAAAACATGCTTGATAGACACATTACATACAGGAAGCTGGTTCAGAATAGCTTACTTTTTAGATAAAAAGGTTGCTCATTTCTAACTTTCAACTTAACTTGTTACTTACGTAAAATGTGCCAACAAGATAAGAATGCATGACAATGAAAGCATAAAATACTTGTATTTTCCAACATATATAGATACATATTTATCAGCATTTCAAACTGTGGTATAATGGCAATACTGCACACCTCAACAAACAAGACCATACTTCAATACAGGTTGGCATGCATGTACACAAGTCTTGGAACACTGGAGCAGATCCACCTTGCTATCTGATGCTACCATCCTCTACACACACAAACAAGGCAGCTTCACAAGCATGGTAGTATTATTCTGCACACTTCACTAATGATTTCATCAAAAGTTTGGAGAAACTAACAAATTCAAAATGGATATTATCACTGGTAGTTTTCTGAAATGTTAAAGTTTTTGGGTTTGAAATATACCATATATATCACTTGGACAAAGTTAAGGATTACTGATTGCATGAAAGAATTCAGAATTGGGAGACCTTAACTTTTTTGAGTAGTATATTTTAAACAATTTCATTAAGCTTTTGACGAAACATCAGGATCTACTTATCATGAGATATGGATTGCAGCATGTATGGCTATTGAAGCAAAGGGGATTACCACTGCAGCACACAATATAAACTAGCATAAGCAGTTATCGATAAAGCTCATGACTGATGATGGAAACTATACCCAATGGACAGGATGATAAGTGATCTTAGGATGAAGAAATTTAAGCATACTATCAAAAATAGACTGATTGACTGAGTTTGGTTTTACACCGCTTTTAGCAATATTCCAGCAACATCACGGCGGGGGACACCAGAAATGGGCTTCACACATTGTACCCATGTGGGGATTCGAACCCGGGTCTTCGGCGTGACGAGCCAACACTTTAACCATTAGGCTACCCCAACGCCCCATCAAAAATAGAAAATGGATGCAAAAAATAATAATTGTGTCAGGACCCTATGCATCCAAGGTTGATTGTGCGAATTCAGAAGCCCAAGAGGAGAAAAATAGTGAGTATTTTCCATGCAATTTACATCAATAGTTGCTTACACTCAGTCATGCACTGAGGAGTCTGACACCGTAATTGGCAAGAACTTATGACAACAAACAACTTACGGGGTAATAAACTGACTTGATCTAAACACAATAAAAAACAAGGAATGAACAATAGACACCATAGGATATTAAAAGTTCACTTACTTTTCTTACTCTGAGTGTGGGCTTCAACATGACACAATAACAAAAATGTGAAACAATAATCATAGAAGTAAAATACAGAGAAGAGTGAGGTTGGTGTAAAAATATTCCAGCAATCTCACCTATATAGCCTAAGACTGGGCTTCACTGCAATCAAGTATGGAGCTGAACCCCAGTCTTCAGTGTGATGAAAGATTACATTGTCCACTTACCTACCTCACCACTCACCGCTATTCTATCAAGGACTGGGAGAGTACTAGGTACATATTCTGACCCAGAATCCCCAAATCAAGATAATTACTGGGTACTGTAGACATGCTTGGGGACTTGAGGCCCTTTAAACCCAACAGTGAGACAATCATGGTACTTGGGGCCTATACAACCCGTGAATCACAACTGAGAGACAATTACAGGTACTTAAGGCCCATACAACCCTTGAATCCCAACGAAGAGACAATTACAGGTAGTTGGGGGTAATACAACCCTTGAATCCCAACGGAGAGACAATTACATTAGTGAAACAATCATGGTTACTAGGGGCCTATACAACCCTTGAATCCCAACGGTGAGAATACAAGGAGAAAGGAGTGCTCTTCCCCTGGATGCATCAGCAGGTGAGACAATTACAGTATCTTGGGACCTATACAACTCTTGAATCCCATCAGGGAGAATGCAAGAAAAGGAGTGCACTTCCCTTTGATGTGTCAGCAGGTGAGACAATAACAGGTACTTGGGGCCTATATAACCCTTGAATCCCAACACCGAAGCACCAATGCATATTAGAGGCCTATAAAACCCTTGAATCCCATTAGTGAAACAATCATGGTTACTAGGGGGCTATACAACCCTTGAATCCCAACAATGACAATGCAAAGAGAAAAGAGTTCTCTGTCCATGGATGAATCAGTAGGTGCTTGAACAGGGACAGTTGTTACATGTTGATATGTTAAGTCATTAAAATATGGAATGACAAAGAAGAGGTTGAGTATATATGCCCCATGAGGAAAGCAAAAAATGGTACCGCATATAATGGTACAGTCATGAGTTAGTTAATGCTATCAGGAACAATGCATGAAAGAGATGCAATGAGAAGCACCGGACTCACCTGTCATTTCAAGGTCACTGTCCTCCATCAGGTCAGTAGTGCTGTTGACGCGGTTCACTCGCTGCTTGATGGGGAAGATGCCAAACTTCTTCTTACGGAAACTCAGACGAGACACTGGCTTTGGATATTTGCCTCCTAAAAGGAGATTGTAAGCATCAAGTGAGTGACTGAGTGAGTTTAGTTTTACGCCACACTCAGCAATAGTCTAGCTATATGGCGGCAGTCTGTAGATAATCGGGTCTGGACCAGACAACCCAGTGATCAACATCATGAACATCAATCTACGCATTTGGGAACCGATGACATGTGTCAACCAAGTCTTTGAGCCTGACCACCATCGATCCCGCTAGTTGCCTCTACAACAAGCATGGGTTACAGAAGATCAATTCGAACCTGGATCTTCACGGGTTTGTAAGCATCAAGGTTCACAATAGATACTATTGAGTCAAGGTGAGTAACTATGTTTAAAAACAGACAGAAAAGAATAAACTTCTTTGTTTCATCTGTTTAAGAGCTATGTACAAGCAAATACCAGGGCACTTGCAACTTCTATTGTAAGACATGTGAATCTGGGATAAAACACCTGACAAACAACGAAGCTAGTGTGTAAGGCACCAACCATCATAGACCTGTTCAAGCTGCTTATGAAGTCATCTCGCCTGTGGGGATGTCCACACCGCTATCCTCCGCAACCTTCAGGAAAACCTGGACACAACAAAATCAAACATTACCATTTTCCTTCACAGCTTGAAATCAAAACACACGTCTATGTAAAAATGGCACATGAATTCATTTCACCCAGTTTTAGTTGTGAGTTAGTCGTGATTCATTCTCTGATACTGACACAAATATCTGTGCTACATTGGTTAATGGTGCCGAAGGCATGTTTTGTGTAACCCATTATAGTAGACAGCATAAATCAAAGAAAAAATAAAGTGAAACAGTGAGTGAGTGAGTTTGGTTTAGTGTTTGAAAAGCATTTTGGTCATATCATGTAATGTCTGTTTAATGACAGATTTGTTCGCTTTTTTTCAGCTGTATGATGGTGATCTGTATATAATAGTTTGGATCATACAACCCAGAGACTGGCATCATGAGCATCAACCAACGTAACTGGGATATGATGACATCAAGCAACCATGCCTGACCTCCCGATCCCCTTAGTCAGCTCTTACAACAAGCATGAGTAGCTGATGAACAGTTCTGACCACCCGAGACGGTCTAGATTTCTGACGGACGGTCTAAACTTACAGCTGGCCAGCCTGATGGTCTCGAAAAAAATTCAGATGTTCCATACATCTGAGTAAATTCACAATATTTGGTCTGGTTAAATCCATTTTGGGCTGGTAACAGTTTGAAGTTACCAGCCCTGATGTCTGACTGGATATTTGGCTTATTTCATACACTGGTTGGAAGAAAGTCTGAAGTAATCCAGGTCTTCACTTTGGCGATGATAAACCAAGAAATATAATTAGGGCAAATCTTGGATTCAAACCCAGGAAATGATGCAAATTACCATGCCTCAGGTGACTTGGCTATCCCTGCTCTCCACAAAGTACAACAAACTCCTGACCCGATCTTTCTTACTCAACAATCAGACTGAGTGAGTGAGTTTAGTTTTACGCTGCTTTTAGCAATATTTCAGCAATATCATGGCATGGGGACACAAGAAATGGGCTTAACACACTGTACCCATATGGGAAATCGAACATGGTCTTCTGCATGACGTGCGGATGCTTTTAACCATCTCGGCTTCCCCACCACCCCGAACAATGAGAAGATGGTCATACCTCCTCCAGACTGGTGTCAGAGATTCCAAAGCTGGAGATGCCGAGGTCAAAGTGGCACATCTCTAACTGAGAGAACAAGGCCTCAAAGTCTCCACTGTGAGCTGCCTCCTCTGGCAGCTGGTAACACAGCTCTGTGTTGTTGTCCTCGTCAGCCTGGCTCCACTCACATACTTCTGTATGAAGGCAGTAAGTCGTTGTACTGAGAAACCTTAGTGAAGAAAACAATAATGATTAGAATGTGGGTTTTCGCTGTACATAACATATGCATTCATTTTTGAGGAAGTGAGTGAATGAGATTAGTTTTACACTACTTTTGACAATATTCCAGCAATAACCCGACAGGGGACACCAGAAATGGGCTTTATACATTATATCCATGTGGGGAATCAAACCTTGGTCTTCGGCGTGACAAGCAAACACTTTAACCACTAGGCTATCCAACTGCCCCCAGTTTTGTTTGAAGTTTAATTGGTTATATATGTGATAATGATTACATAGAGGTCGATACCTAGCTCAAATTACAATATTTTTGGTCAATATTCATAACATTTTCACACTGATGAAATTTGGTTAAAATAATGTAAAGATTTGTTCATCCAAACTGTGATGGTGGTCACATGACATACATAAACTCAAGCTAAAGGAAGGTTTCCTGTTTATTCCTATATGAGACAAACTGTTACAGGAACCGCCCTGTGTTTCTGTACATGTGATCCACTAAAGACTTGCCTCGCATCATAGTGGCTCCCTCTGGTGGTGGTGTAGGTGGGTCACTGCTGTTTGTACTGCTGGTCTTGTCACTGTCTGGTCGCTCAGAGTAACCTTCATCATCCATCTCAAATGTTGGCTGATATGTAATGATAAAAGATTTTATTACCTACGAGGGCAAAAATATCGGGGTTCATATTTTTCATACTTGCGTGCTCTAAAGATCGGTATATCCCTTGCTCTCGCCGAAATACTTAACATTTAGGCACTCGTGTCGTAAACATAGTATGACATGGGCACTCAAACAATATCCTCTATAGAGTTCCCTGTCAATGAAACAATTGCCTAAAATATCATTACTCAAAACACTGCTGCTGACTTTTCAAAATTACAATTAAACTCACTCGCTCATCAGGAAACCATCCGATATCCGAATTATTATTCTTCTTATTCTTATTATTATTTGTACGTTTTTTGTGACAGCTCTCCTGACCTAACCGCTGGGTCGATTTTCATGAAAGTTTCAGGGATGATAGCCTGTATGCTGAAATTGATACATAGTCGAAAAAATCCCTACTTCCGGCTTCCGGTAAAGGCAGAGAACCCAAAATGTCGAAATCTTTGCACCTGAATAACTCAAAAACTATAAGAGGTAGATTGACCAAATTTTCACTCAATGTAGACAACATCATTCCCTGTCGATTCAACACATACCGGAAGTTACCGGCAGGTCAAATTTTTCCGCTATTTTGAAAAAACTGATTTTTTTGCCGATTTTCATGATTTGACGGTGCCTGTCTTTCAAAATCTTCTTCTCCAGAACGGCATATAGTACAATCGTGTTCGATACGCTGTTGGAAAGCCCATACTCTGGACTACTTAGTTTGCTCAAGGCATGTCGATATCTTGAATGGTTTTGGAGTGATCGCCCTTGGAAGTTGGTGATTTTTCTAAGACGCATTTTCATAGGGTTAAGAAAAAGGTCACAACTCTGCGAAAAATCGATGTATTCCATTTTTCTAAGTACCATCCTCTAGGTAATTGGATGGGAAACATCTTTGCTTCACATCATGGTTATGAAAAAATCAATAATAACGTCACCATTACGACACAAACACAGCCTTCGCGAATTTTGCACATTTCCGCACTTTTTTTACGGTGCCTGTGTTTAACAATCTGCTGCTCCTGAACGGCAAATAGTACAATAGTGTTCTATATATCGTTTTAAAGCCCACACTCCGGACTACTTAGGTTGTTCAATGCATGTCGATATCTTGAATAGTGTCGGAGTTATTGCCCTTGGAAGTTGGTCAATTTTTGGCGAAACGCATTTTTATAGGGTTCACAGCTCTACGAAAACACAATGGATGTCCTTTTTGAAGGTACCAAACTGTAGACAATGAAATGTAGAACAATTTTGCTTCACATTATTATTATGTAAAAGTCAATAGTTACGCCACAATTACGCCCAGACAGGGCGGGACATGAGGATTTCGAATTTTTTCAGTTGTGAGATAACTAAGTGAAGGAAGCGGCGAGCGTTGCTAGATTTTACTGTCGCTTCCTTCAGCCAGTTATCTCATATCACAGGAAGCGCCAGTAAAATCTAGCCACAGTCGCCGCTTCGTGGTTTTTCAGTGCCTACAGAAATAGTTCCCCTTTAACAGGCCGCAACTCCGCTTGTTCTTAGGTCTACAGTCAAAACAATTAGTGTCCTGGAATTGCCAGGAATACACTTCAAAACACTTCAAACACCCGTAACCCCGAGAGTTAAAATCGACTGTCCAGCTGGCGTCCAAAGAAACGGTACAAGTAAAGGTAGCCACGGGGGGTGTATGGGGAGGTCTGAAGACCGCCAGTATTGCCCAGGAGGCAATCCTAGTTTATCTTAAGATTAAATTTGTTGATGATGCAGCTCTAGCGAGGTTTCATAAGGATTCAGAACTTAAATACAGAGCTGAGATATTTAATTTTACATCATGTTGTAAAGATAATTTTCTATCTTAAATGTTAACAAATTAAGAAACGATTATTCACTAAAGAAACAGAAACAATCTTAACAAAACTAACAACTGTTAACAAAACTAAGAAATGATTATTCACTTCAGAAAACAGAAACAATCTTTACGTAAAGTCATTGGAATCCATTACCAAGGATCCCAGGTAACTCACCACAACATCAATGGTGGAGCGGATGCTGCCGGCAGTGGATGGCCTGCTGGGTTTAGGTTTGATTACGTCCATGGCTTCAACCTCTTTCTGCTCCTGGTCATCCTGGCGGACAAGGGTCAAGTAGTAGCCACTGCCGAAGCGGTTCTTAAGGAAGAGGCTAGAGCCACAACAGCAGAGTCGGCCATGTGAGATGATGGCGATGCGGTCCCCAAGGATGTCGGCTTCATCCATGTGGTGGGTGGACATTATGATGGTACGGTCTGGAAGATCAACACAAGGTTACACTTTAACAAGCTATTTGTTTGTTTGGGCTTCAGATGTAATTAAAGAACTAAAACTCTTTGTAAATTAGTTGGAGGAAATTTGTACTTGTCATGAAAGTGTTTTGGTTTTTTAAACTTATCTTCCTGCATTAATGCCACTTTAAGCATGTGAATGTCAACCTGATATGCACTGGGCAACCGGCTGTATCACAGTGACTCTTATTGTTCATCATTCCTACAAACATTGCAGTAAACACTGCGCTATATATTTTATTACTTTGCAATGAACATTTTCTCAGCACAAACTAATTTTTGTGATATGTCATGGTAACTTCTTCTTCTTTGTAAAACCATTAGAGTCCATAACACCACACCCCATACACCAGTGATAATCAGGTTTAATGTCAACCAGAGGTAAAGTGTTTGCTTACTTGTTCTCAGTTTGACGAGCAGATCCCAGATGGCTCTGCGAGCGTATGGGTCAACACCAGCTGTAGGTTCATCCAAGATGACCGTGCGAGATCCACCCACAAATGCAATAGCCACTGACAACTTCCGCTTCATACCCCCTGTAACACACACAGAGACCAACCATAAACACAAGCCAGGATATTCAGTGAGGTGGCTTATTCAATGGAAATCTTTGGAACTATTAAATACATACCGACTTACCAACTAATCCGTCTGAAGTGAGACAAGAGCTGATATATGACCAAATTGCCAATGAGGATTCTGATAGAAACAGCAAGTTACATAGCCTTAAAAAAAATGTCTAGTTAATAAATATACTATACAACATGGGCTTACAATGAAAACTAGAATGCTTTCAATTTTTGTTAGTTCAAACAACCTTTTTCTGTAACATGCGATTCAATCCACTAACCAAACAGACATCTGCCACCACCACACAGTCTCCACACCCTCTAAAGATGTACAACTGACCTGACAGGTTCTTGGAGATTTCTTTGATCTTGTTGGGCAGTCCGACATCTTTGACCATCTGAGGCAGTTCTTGCTTCACCTCTGCATTGGTCCTTCCCTTGAGTCGGGCATAGAACCAGATGTGCTCCTCTACTGTTAGGCTGAACACAATGACAGTTAACAGTCTTTAGTTTATGCCTATGGTTAACTAATGGCAAATCGCTTTCAGAAAACCTGCCATGTCACCTTTGCTGAGGGGTTTGTATACAGTACCTCCATTACCCGGGAATATGCTATGAGGTTTAGTGATAGTTTGACCCAAAGAATCAAGTCCCAGTCTGCCTCCAGTAGATGGATACAAATAGGTGCTCTGACCAATGATTGTTGAGAATAAAATGCATTCAAGGAAGCATTTCTTACTCAATACCATCATAGTGAGACCGCGGGTCCAGGGATGTAATTGATTCGACATAGCAGTCATGGTGAGTGAGTGACTAAATGGTGAGTGAGCGAGTGAGTGGGCGAGGTAGCCAGTTATCAAACACAACCCTCAGCCTAGTTTGGTCACATAATGTGCTGACTCTCACAGCGGAAAGTGATATAGGCCATGGACTTTTACCACTAATGTTACAATCACACAAACATGACAAGAATCAGAATCAGAATACATCTGAATACATACATGATCAAAAGATTCTTCTTCATCTAAGGGGTACAACTCTGGACATCAGATTGCATCACCATAAAAGAAAGGGTCACATACATTCATGTCCTATATAAGTACAGAAGAAGATACTTACAGGTCAAAGAGAACATTATGCTGTGGACACATTCCCAGACTGCTCCTGATATCATCCATCTGGGAGGAATGTCCTTTTCGTTGATATACGCTGTGCCACTTGTAGGAGGGAACAGGCCTGTCAGGATGGACCTGGGAAACAACATGCAGCACATTGTCAACACTGACGGTATATTCAGCTTTAGCCATATGGCATGTAAATCAGCATTTCATCACAAGACAAAACAAAGGTTCTTATTTTCACGAGTACTACAGCCACTAGTGCAAATATTCAGCTCACAAGGGATACAGGTCCATGTCTATGGCTTTAGAGTGAGTGAGTTTAGCTTTACTCCGCACTCAGCAATATTCCAGCTGTATGGCGGCGGTCTGTAAATAATCTAGTCTGGACCAGACAATCCAGTGATCAAAAGCAAGAGCATAGATCTATGCAATTGGGATGTGATGACATGTGTCACCCAAGTCAGCGAGCCTGATAACTCCGATCCTGTTAGTTGCCTCTTATGACAAGCATGGGTAACTGAAGATCAATTGTTAACCGAATCCTCGTGGGTCTATGGCCTAAGAACTGACTACAACTCTCCAATGGTTGTGTGAGTAACGACAATGCTTAAAAATGCCTCTTGGACGAGCCTTGGCCTAATTACATGGTTGTGTTCAAGGACCTAAGTAATAACAGTGCCAAGTAATGCCTCTTGGACAAAGCCTTGGCCTAATTGCATGGTTGTGTTCAAGGATTAAAGTAATAATAGTGCCAAGTAAAGCCTCTTGGACGAAGCCTTGGCCTAATTACATGGTTGTGTTCAAGGATTTAAGTAATAACAGTGCCAAGTAATGCCTCTTGGACGAAGCCTTGGCCTACTTACATGGTTGTGTTCAAGGATTTAAGTATTGACAGTGCCAAGTAATGCCTCTTGGATAAGGCCCCGGTCTACGTACCTGGTTGTGTTCAAGGATTTGAGTAATGACAGCACAAAATTTGAAAAACCACTGGCCTACTTACATGGTTGTAGTTTTTCCTGCACCGTTGTGTCCAAGGAAAGATGTTATCTGACCCTCATAGAAGTTGAGCGACAACCCATCTACTGCCAGTTTTTTCCCAGTCTTGTACACCTTAGTAAGGTTGTGTATGGACACACCCACTTTACTGTTAGGGGGCACTGCCTCTAGATTCTCCTTGTCACCTGCAACAGATTCTGTCATTCACCTCTAACTCACAATTACATAGGCAAAACAAATTGACACCAACGAAGATGTTATATGTTACAAAGCAAGGCATAGTTGGTTCAATATTTCAGAGACATCTAGCTCATCAATATTACTCACAGTTCATTTCCATGTTGGCTGCTTCAGGGTTGCCCATGAAGTTTGAGTCTCCTTGGTAACGCTGTCCACACCAGTAGGTTTTCTGGATGGGGAAGTACCATTTGCGAGGGATTCCATACTGGCCTGAAAATGACAGGAATGTTCAAATTGTGAAAATATATATATCTAATAATTTAGAGGTGACGAATAGCATTGTGGTTGAAATACCATGCTGAAATCCTGGGTTCTATTCTGTGGGACCTGTTTTCACAAAGAATCATAACAGGGTGCTCTTCTGGATCTATTCTTGCCCTAAATACCCAATGTGTACCCCTAGAGAAAGGCTTCAGCAACTCTGCACCTATTCTTGCCCGAAAAATGCTTCAGCAACTGTTGATTGATTCTTGACCTAAATACCCAATATGCACCCCTAAAGAAAAGCTTCAGCAACCATGGACCTATTCTGAACCAGAATCCCTACAGGAAACCTACCAAGAAAAGCTTCAGCCATTGTGGACCAAGGTAGCAAACCTACATCGTTTTTCCAGTTTCTTAGTTACAAAACTAAGGGTAAAATAGATAACCTCCATCACCTCAGAATTCTGGACTATTTGACCTTTGACAAAATAGACATGGCGAACATACCTGGAAAGACAGCTTCAATGTACCAGGTGAAGAGGCCATAGATGAAAGCATCAGCCAACATCATTAGGATACACCGCGCCATGCTGAAGTCATCGTCGGGGATGGGGCTGTCAGCGATGTTGCTCCACTGTAGACCAGTCATCTGTTCTTCATAGCGAGATATATAGCTGCAGCCAAATCCAAACGCTACACTTGATGACAGGCACTGCAAGTAGGAAGCATCGGGACTTCAACAATAATCAACAAAATCACCAGGGTTGGTACAGATTATCAGCCACTACATTTATGGCCTTTCTAGGGGCTTTTCAAGGCCAAATCAACAATGGACTGACTGACTGAGTTTGGTTTTACGCCGCTTTTAGCAATATTCCAGCAACATCACAGCGGGGGACACCAGAAATGGGCTTCACACATTGTGCCCATGTGGGGATTCGAACCCGGGTCTTCAGCGTGACGAACCAACGCTTTAACCATTAGGCTATCCCACTGCCCCATCAACAATGGAACTACAGAAACACATATAACACAAAAGTAGTTGGACCTCGTAAAACAGGCTTCATACCAGTGAGTATGTTTCTGTTACTTAATACAGCACTCAGCAATGTTTCAGCCAAAACACTGTAGTCTGTAAATAATCTGGTCCAGACAATCCAGTGAATCAGTGAGGGGTAAGTGAATGGTTGAGAGAGTGGGTGAGTGGTTAAGCTAGTGGTTGAGACGTCATATGAGTGGTTGAGAGAGTAGCTGAATGAGTGGTTGTGTGAGCGAGGTGAGTGGTACTCACAGAGGCCAGCTTGATGGAGGTGCTGATGTATTCCTCCCACTGCACCACCTGGGTGTACGGCATGTACAAGAGGAAGTACAAGAAGCCCCCACACACTGCCGCCAGGTTGGCTCGGGAGAAGAACACGCTGATCAGGAAACACTGCATGATGGTTGCCAGCGTGAACGCCAACAAGAACACAAAGATAACAGATGGGTCCGAGTGCTCCATGATTTTACCGCCCTAAAAATAAACATAAAAATGGGCTGAAATATGACAATTGTGTGATGTATTATGGCCAATGTTTCCAAACCCTCAGCAGAACTAGAAATAAATTGTTTCCAAGTATTCTAAAATATACCTGATTGGGGGAACTTGATTGGCCAACCAATCTATTAATTTAGCCTTACCGCTTACATAAGCCAAATATGCTGTTTTCTGATTGCCTGATAATAGAGCAGGCAGGGCTTGTGTTCCATTGTTGCACTGACCAATGTCACTGATAAGTATTAGTTTTTGTGTCACTGATTAAATAAGAAGTCAGTGAGTTATTACTGTTGACATTTTTATTCATATGAAATGATTTCAAGTATACCTTCAGCACCAGGATAAGCACTTTGTGCACCCAACAAGCACCTACCTTGAGCACTGCCACAAGCATGACGACAGTGATGATCATCATGACAAAGGCGTTGATGAACCAGGCCAGCCAGTGGACCCCGTTACCCAGCCCCATCATCTTCATCACCTCCTTCAGACGACGTTCCTTCTCGTACACAATCCCCTTCACGATCATGGCCACTGAGTAGATCCATGCTAACACCATGAACATTGGCATGCTCCGAGATATCGTCATTGTAAACCTGATATAACACAAAAGTGAAAGAGTCAGGTGAATTGTTCCTTATAATAGGGGGAACTAACCTGTTCCTGACGTAGCAAGGGTAGGGGATCTAACCTGTTCCTGACGTAGCATGGGAGGATTATCTAACCTGTTCCTGACATAGCAAGGGTAGGGGAACTAACCTGTTCTTGACGTAGCAAGGGTAGGGGATCTAACCTGTTCCTGACATAGCAAGGGAAGAGGAACTAACCTGTTCCTGACGTAGCAAGGGTAGGGGATCTAACCTGTTCCTGATGTAGCAAGGGAAGAGGAACTAACCTGTTCCTGACGTAGCATGGGTAGGGAACTAACCTGTTCCTGACGTAGCAAGGGTAGGGGATCTAACCTGTTCTTGACGTAGCAAGGGTAGGGGAACTAACCTGTTCCTGACGTAGCAAGGGTAGGGGAACTAACCTGTTCCTGACATAGCAAGGGTAGGGGAACTAACCTGTTCCTGACATAGCAAGGGTAGGGGAACTAACCTGTTCTTGACGTAGCAAGGGTAGGGGAACTAACCTGTTCCTGACGTAGCAAGGGTAGGGGAACTAACCTGTTCCTGACGTAGCAAGGGTAGGGGATCTAACCTGTTCTTGATGTAGCAAGGGTAGGGGAACTAACCTGTTCTTGACATAGCAAGAGGAGGGGAACTAACCTGTTCCTGACAGAGCAAGGGTAGGGGAACTAACCTGTTCCTGACGTGTAGCAAGGGAAGAGGAACTAACCTGTTCCTGACAGAGCAAGGGTAGGGGATCTAACCTGTTCCTGACGTAGCAAGGGAAGAGGAACTAACCTGTTCCTGACAGAGCAAGGGTAGGGGAACTAACCTGTTCCTGACGTAGCAAGGGTAGGGGAACTAACCTGTTCCTGACGTAGCAAGGGTAGGGGATCTAACCTGTTCCTGACGTAGCAAGGGTAGGGGAACTAACCTGTTCTTGACGTAGCAAGGGAAGAGGAACTAACCTGTTCCTGACGTAGCAAGGGTAGGGGATCTAACCTGTTCCTGACGTAGCAAGGGTAGGGGAACTAACCTGTTCCTGACGTAGCAAGGGTAGGGGATCTAACCTGTTCTTGACGTAGCAAGGGTAGGGGAACTAACCTGTCCCTACCGTAGCAGGGATAGGGGATCTAACCTGTTCTTGACGTAGCAAGGGTAGGGGAACTAACCTGTTCCTGACGTAGCAAGGGTAGGGGAACTAACCTGTTCCTGACAGAGCAAGGGTAGGGGAACAACCTGGGTAGGGGGGAACTAACCTGTTCCTGACAGAGCAAGGGTAGGGGATCTAACCTGTTCTAGGGGAACTAACCTGTTCCTGACATAAAGCAAGGGTAGGGGAACTAACCTGTTCCTGACATAGCAAGGGTAGGGGAACTAACCTGTTCCTGACGATTAGCAAGGGTAGGGGATCTAACCTGTTCTTGACGAAAGCAAAGCAAGGGTAGGGGAACTAACCTGTTCCTGACAGAGCAAGGGTAGGGGAACTAACCTGTTCCTGACGTAGCAAGGGTAGGGAACTAACCTGTTCCTGGGGAACTAACCTGTTCCTGGCAGTAGCAAGGGTAGGGGTAGGGGATCTAACCTGTTCCTGACGAGCAAGGGTAGGGGAACTAACCTGTTCTTGACGTAGCAAGGGAAGAGGAACTAACCTGTTCCTGACGTAGCAAGGGTAGGGGATCTAACCTGTTCCTGACAGAGCAAGGGTAGGGGAACTAACCTGTTCCTGACGTAGCAAGGGTAGGGGATCTAACCTGTTCTTGACGTAGCAAGGGTAGGGGAACTAACCTGTCCCTACCGTAGCAGGGATAGGGGATCTAACCTGTTCTTGACGTAGAAAGGGTAGGGGAACTAACCTGTTCCTGACGGAGCAAGGGTAGGGGATCTAACCTGTTCCTGACATAGCAAGGGTAGGGGAACTAACCTGTTCTTGACGTAGCAAGGGTAGGGGAACTAACCTGTCCTGACATAGCAAGGGAAGAGGAACTAACCTGTCCTGACATAGCAAGGGTAGGGGAACTAACCTGTTCCTGATGTAGCAAGGGTAGGGGAACTAACCTGTTCTTGACGTAGCAAGGGAAGAGGAACTAACCCGTTCCTGACGTAGCAAGGGTAGGGGAACTAACCTGTTCTTGACGTAGCAAGAGGAGGGGAACTAACCTGTTCCTGACAGAGCAAGGGTAGGGGAACTAACCTGTTCTTTACCCAGCAAGGGTAAGGGAACTGCTGCAAATACACCCCCACTTCCTCCTCCACACCAGTTTGCACCCGGATGATTGCGTGGTCAACCATATCCTGCAGGAAGGCAAAGCCATACGTCAGGTATTTGGTGTCAATGCCAGTTCGGGCCCTGGGGCCTGGGCTCCAGTACTTGTCTTGTACTTTCTTTGTGCTGTCTACTTTGTCTGTGTCCATTCTGATCTTGTAGGAAATGTAATTTGGGACAGATGCTGCATCCTCATCAGTTTCAAATACCAGAGCTGGAGGAAAAGACAAAGAGAGCATTACCAAATAAATTGCCTGGGACAAGCTCCATTAATCTCTGAAATATATAAATGCAGTTAAAGAGGTAAGCAAAATGTAATCATAGTGGTAAGATTTAGATGAGATCGATTATCTTAGTGTAATTTAGTACACGAACTAGAAGGTATGATGCATGCAAGCATTTGTGTGTGTGCATCCCACAGTTTATCATCCAAAACTGTGTTCCACAGGAGATATCGCTTGTGTGAGATCAAACGATATCTCCTAGGAGATATCGTTTTGACAGTAGATTTTGTACAATGCCCTGACAATGCTATGACGTCATGTACTTGATGACGTCACAATGCTATGGCATCGCTGCACTGCAAGTGTAATGGCAGTACCGTGTTGAGAGATGTACATATTTCATTGAAAATTAATGAAAAGTGATTTTGGATGATAAATAGAATCTCACCCTCGTGTCTTCTGATATCAAATATATCAACACTCGTTGATAGTGAAGCCTCGGATATTTGTAACTTTATCAACTCGTGTTGATATAATTGATTTCAGAAGACACTTGGGTGAGATTCTCTATATACCCTACCTGCCCAGAAGGTGTTGGTCTGTATCATATCCAGGCTGTCCTTTAACAGGGAGTACTCGGATGGATATGGTCGGAACTTGTCAAATCTGAAACACTACATTTGGAATATTTTATAACAATGGGGAGGGATGGCAGTGTGCAATAGGGTTCAATGTCACATTCAAGACAACTGCATTCCTACAGTGACACGCATGCACGTTTGGTGTTGGCGGCTTGTACTGGACTTTTATAGTACTTGACCTGTGAGACACCATGCCACAGTTTAACATGGATGATTCACTCTAAACACATTATGCTGAATCTCAGACAGGCCTTGTTTAATCCTCTTGAACTGAGAATTTGTTTTATGATAAATTGAAACTTTTATTTGACATTCATTAAAGCTGAATACTGGCCTCTGGATAGGCCTAAATAAATCCCTGCTGATTGTACATTAACTTAGTTGTTACAAGACATTTGTAACCTGCCCTGGACACCACACAGATATTACTACTACTTACAGTGGTGTACATTCCATGTCTAATGCTTCTCAGTCTGTTGTGGTAGTGGTGTAGCCTGGTGGTTGAAGCTTTTGCTCGTCATGACAACCACCCAGGTTCAATTTTATATATGCATGCAATTCGTGAAGCATATTTCTGATGAACACGTGTGATACTGCTGAAATATTGCTTAAATTGGCGAAAATCTAAACTAGTTCAATTACATACTGCTCTGCTTACCTGACAGATACATATTTCCAAATTTGTCGGGTAACCACGACAACAAACACAAAGAAGTATAACTACAGTATACCTGCAGGTACTTCTTAATCTCGGACATGAAGTAGTTGGTGTAGTTGAGTGAGTCCCTCCAGTCATACCCCGTGGTGTTGGGGCCGTTGTAGAGGTAGCGGGAGAAGTAGTCGCAGGTGCTGGTGTTGAAGGTGGGGATATTGGTGGCAGGGTTGATTTCCTGAAGCAGCTTCAGCCCTTTAGTCAGATTCGCACATCCAGATCGTGATGTGAATCTCTGTAACAGGCAAGGAATATTCAGTGAGGCTAATATCTCAGGTGACAGCTGAATAACAATTTATCATCCACAACTGGCTTCCACAGAGGTATGACTAACGTGAGATCACACAATGCAACATCACAACAAGAGTTCCAGATAAATAACGCTTTTTCACACGGAGGCATGCTGAAAGCGCATACAGAAAAGATTCAGTCATTTTCTTAAAAAGACATGTCTCTAGTTGGCCAAGGCCCAGATAAGCTGCGAATCCTGGTAAAATACGCATAGAAAATTTCCAATTACGCATTGAAAAAATAATTGTTGCGTACCAATTACGCATTTAAAATGGTAGATACGCAAAAAGTTTAAACCAAATGCGTACGGAATATATTTATAAAAATCGCTTGCGTAATGAAAAAGACATCGATTGCTATCAAGTTGTATTGTTAGTATAGGACAAGTGTTGTACTGTCAGTATAGGATGAGTGATTTTTTATGAAATCATTTCCATTATATTTAAGTTGGTTTTGATTAGGTATGACATGAGGCAGAACATACCTGCTTAGTAAACTTACTCAATGACGTAATACTTAGGTGAGTAAAATGACTGAAATACTCACATATTTGAAAGCAGTGGGTAACAGAAATACCCACTCAACATTCATAATACCCACTCCAAAAAAATACAGTGGGTACAGTACCCACATGAGCTAAATCTTATCTGGGGCTCTGAGTTGGGTTTTGAAAGTGTGTAATGATTCAGAGTTTTTCAAGGTATCTGGAAGGTTATTTAATTTCACAGCCAATGTAATGTCTGTTATTCCATTACAGACAGCAGTATTAGAGTTTAGCACACTGCTTTTCAGATCACTGTGCCAGCATCTTGTGTAATTCCATGCTCATTCTACGTACACATATTCAGTCCATAGCTAACCTGGCTGGAGTCATGGATGGTAGTACTCAGTATCATGCTCTTACCCTGAGTAAGTCTATGGTGGTGCTGTTGTCGAGGTAGTTGTACACTCTAGGGGACACGTTCTCCAGCCAATCATCAGCAACATCCAGGAGGGAGGCAAGGTTCTCAAAGGTGGCATTAGCCTGTAAGAACAGATACAGACTCATCACACAAAGCATCATCAGTGATTGGATGGATTGGATATTGTTTAACGCCGCACTCAGCAATATCCCACAACATGACGGCAGTCTGTAAATAATTGAGACAATCCAGTGATCAACAGCATCAGCATCAATCTACTTAATTGGGATATGAAGACATTTATTATATGACGTGTAGTTTTTCCGCCCTTCTGATTGGCCCACATGGTCACATGACAGCTTTGACGCTAAGCGATGTCAACCTCACCACGTCGCGAGAAGCTAATATCACAATCCAAGCACCTCCCATGGGTAAAAATAGAATGGGGATATTCCAGGTGTGAACTCCGCACTGCGTGCATCACGCTAGATAAAGAAGCGTGTTGTGTTGGTTTAGAGTTACGTCCCATCTGTATCAAAATGGCAGACACCACGAATAATCATGACTGTCTAAGAAGAGGAAATAAATCGTCCATGTGAAAGAAGAACAGGTATTCAGTACCTTTGTCATATAATAAAACAATTATTGACTTCTAGTGAGGTTGACCCAATGATTGGACATGTGATATTCACCGAGGCGAAGCCAACCAAGTCATCGCGCCTGACCACCCGATCCTGTTAGTCGACCCCTTACGACAAGCATGGGTTACTGAAGATCAATATTCTAACCCGGATGTTCACGGGACGACTTGACTAATAAATCAATTGTCAAATTTTGAACCATGCTGCCTCACTACCAAACACCTAGCCTCTCATCATATTATTGTCCTTTACTAATCAAGAGTATCTGCTTGTGTTCCCTTTTTTCCATTATAAAAACACCAGATGTTGTCAGTTCAACCTACCATTATGTTAGCAAGGTTACTGTCAAGTGAAACAAAAATATATATTCCAAATTGATCTCGCACATTATATGATCTCCCATAGAGAGTCTGGGCTAATATTGGTCTACTGCAAACTGCTGATAGTAAGAGGCAAAAACAATAATCGGGTGGTCTGGCTTGGTGACTTGTTTGATTGACTGTCAAAGTACCTTGGTGACTTACTCACAATATCAGTCACTGGATTATCCAGCCCAGACTCAATTATTTACAAGCAGCCCTCATATGGTTAACCATAAACAGTACAGTGTATGAAATAAGGCCCGTCCGACCACCTGAGACGGTCTAGATTTCTGACGGACAGTCTAAATTTACAGCTAGCCAGCCCGATGGTCTGGTAATTTTTTTTAGATGTTCCATACATATGAGTAAATTCACCATATTTGGTCTGGTTAAATCCATTTTGGGCTGGTAACATTTTGAAGTTATCAGCCCTGATGTCTGGCTGGATTTTTGGCTATTCCATACACTGCCATAACCAAACAAAACAATCAGATAGGATATATGGTTGAACATAAACAAACAAAACAATCAGATAGGATATATGGTTGAACATAAACAAACGAAACAATCAGATAGATATATGGTTGAACATAAACAAACAAAACAGTCAGATAGGATATATGGTTGAACATAAACAAACGAAACAATCAGATAGGATATATGGTTGAACATAAACAAACAAAACAATCAGATAGGATATACCAGACCTGCTTGATGATGGCCCTGGTGGCAGCATTGTCCGGGGCGTATGGAATAACACCCAAGATGACTGGCTTAAGCTGGCGCCAGAGGATACGAGTGTAGGGCGTTGCCTCAAAGGATGCAAACAGGTCCATGCAGAATGGAGCTGCAAAGATAAGTTGTTCAGTTGTCAGGGGTATGTTGACAATCTAGTCTGCAGCATCATTTGATATTGTAGTTCGTTCATAATGAGGGCAGTGAGGTAGCCTAGTGGATAAAGCGTTAGTTTGTCACCTTGAAGACCCGGTGTAGCAGGCCATTTCTTCCCCTGTCTAAACTTTCCCTGGGGAGAATCTGGCCTAGGCCAAACTTTCCCCAGGGAGCTTTTGTCCTAGGATATTCTTACCCCAGGGAAAGTTTGGCTAGGCTAAAGTCCCCCCCCCCAAGGCCAAACTTTCCCCCTGTTGAAACTAGGATATTCTGTTCTGTTTTCTATGAAAAGTGGGGAGATTCTGGCCTAGATAGGCCACTTCTTCCCCACCCTTGTTATTATCTTCTATTCCTCATATGGATACAAAGAATGAAGCCCATTTCTGGTGTCCCACACGACAATATTGCTGGAATATTGCTAAAAGCTGCAAAAAAATACACACTCACTTATTTATTATAGAATGAAGTAATTATGTATAACACCAATCTACATCAATCCTGCAGTGTCAAACTTTGAATAACTCAATTTACTCTTGTAGGTCCATTCAACTTCTACATGAAAGTGTTTGACTGTTTCACCATATTTTGATAGTTGTCAATGATCCAGTTTGAATGGAACTAATTTCTCTTTGATGGTGCAAAAGAAACAACAGATGCATCTGGTGAGATTGTTAAAATGAATGAATGAGTATGGGTTAACACCGCTTCTTGTAATGTTCCAGCAATATCACAACAGGACCCCTGAAAAAAGCTTAAAATAATGTGCCAATGTGGCAAATCGAAATTAGGTCTTCAGCACGATGTGTGCAAACGCATTAACAGCTTGGCGACCCAACCCCACTAAGATTGTTAATAAAGATGTTAAAAAGATTTTTCCTTAGCTAGTGAATTTTAATGCAGCTTTTAGCCATATTCCATAGAACATCAAGGCAAAGGGCTTCAGAAATGTATTTCAAACAGCATGCCCATACAGAGAATCCAACCAGTGGCTTCAGCATGAAGAAAATCCAACCAGTGGCTTCGGCACGAAGAGATATTTCTTTACCCCCAAGTCTACCACACTGGTCTACCAGTCTTCTATGAAACATCATCATATGACAGTAAATGGTACTCACTGAACTCCTTCATCTCATCCTCTCTCTCCTTCTCTCTCCTCATCTTTTGTTCTTCAGACTCCTCCATGTCGACCCGCCCTGAACCAGAACTCCCACTGAAGAGGTCCGTGTTGTTAGGGTTGACCCGCAAGAAGGAGTTGGGTCGGCCACAGATGAGCATGCTGAGGTCTTGGGTCACATTGCCAGGTCCTCTGGCCTCCTGGGCAGCTTGCATTTCATCTCGCAGGTCAATCAGGTCCTTCTGGAGAGCTTGCAGACTGCTCAGGTCATTCACCTGGGGTATTGTAATTTGACAGATATGATTGAGTGGTTTATTTCTAACACTACTCGGAATAATATTTTAGTTAAAGTGTGTCTGCCTGACTATGTTAACATGGGAGGAGAGCCCCAAGTGATGCAGTCATCTAAGTTTACAATCACGACAATAAGTGGAGTGCTGACAGCCTAAGAAACATTTTCAGCATGAATTTGGGATTAAAAAAATGCTCACTGGTCTTAGACAGGCTCAAGGGACACAACTCTGAGTGAGTTTAGTTTTACGCCACTTTTAGCAATATTCTAGCAAAATCACTGCAGGGGGACACCAGAAATGGGCTTTACACAATGTACCCTTGTGGGGGAATTGAACCCATGTCTGGAAATGGCAAATGCAAATGTAAAAAGAATGAGAAGATTCTGAATCACTTACATCCCTAAATATGTTCAGTAGTCTTCTGTATGATTCAATGTCAAAGTTGGGTCTGACGCCTGTGTTCTGTTGCACATACTCGGACACCTGGAATGAGAAGACACATGACAGAGACTCCCTGGTAAGGTTGCAAAATCCATATTCTAGGTTAACATGAAGATTCTAGATTAACATGAAGATTCTAGATTAACATGAAGAAGGATAGTAAAGCAGATACAGTAAGTGTTTCAGGCAGGACTAACACCTTGACAAGGCTGCTGTTGTTCTTCACCATCCAGAAAAAAAGACTCCTCTTATGTCAGTTATCTCAACGATCTGGTGGATCAGATGGATCTATACAAAGTGTTAAAGGCTTTGAATGAGTGAGTGAGTGAGTGAGTATGGTTTTACGCCGCTTTTAGCAATATTCAAACAACATCACGGTGGGGGACACCGGAAATGGGCTTTACACAATGTACCCATGTGGGGAATTGAACCCGAGTTTTCGGTGTGACAAGCGAGAGCTTTAACCACTAGGCTACCCCACCGCCTCAGCTTTGAACGAAATTTAAAAGTGATGACCATAAAAGGTGAGAATTTTTTATGTCAACTTTTTTATCATGAGGAACACAAGGAACATGAAGTCCTAGATGGGACTCAACCTAACAAAAGTACAAGAATTTGTACTTTACTGAGAAAGTGTAATTGTTGGGAAACGATGGCATACAACTACATAGGTCACACAGATGAACCACCAGGTCCTGATCTCATACAAACATGGATTTGAAGAACTTGGAACCAGTTTCACAGAGCCATCATACAGATATGACTATCACAAGTCTATGTTAAAGTATAGGAGATGCAATAGTGGAGGACCTTCTTTTGCTTTCTGAAACAAACAAAACCTGAAACACATAGTGCAGATGCTAAGTGCCACCTACCTCGCTGATAACCTGTATCACGTTGATATCATCACGGAAGTCCCTGTACAGCTGGACGGCTTCGGTGATGTTCAGGTTACACAACTGATCCTGGACGTTCCGTGCATCTGCTGGACTACCAAACTCAAAATACCTCTCCAGGAGGCTGTTGTTGCAGACGTCTGTTCGTAACTGGTCCAGAGTTGAATTGAAGTTGGCGGCATTGTCGGGCAATTCTAGTTCCTCAAGGAATACCACTAGACTCATGAAGGGGAATGGGTTGCCACTTGTTACGTTGCCCACCAGCTAGCACAGAGGACAGTATGGGATGAAATCACACAGCAGGGTTTCCAACTAATTATATGAACTAAGTGGGTGGTTGAGTTGGGTCATATCAGAAGATAGATGATGAGATGAACCCACTTTTACCATTATCCGAGCTACATCTCAGTATGGGATACCTAGAACTTCACACATTGTGACTCATGTGAGAAATCAATCCCAGGACTTCTAATTACAAGCAAACACATTTACTACCAGGCTGCAAAAGTTCCAAGTAATGCAGGTCCAGGGAATGCAAGTTTTAGTTTGTTTAATGTTCAATGCTGCACTCAGCAATATTCCAGCTATACAGCAGCTGCCTGCAAATAACTGTGTCTTGACAAGACAATTCTGTGATTTATATTGTGAGCAACGATTCCACACTGTCAGAATAAAATGCCCAACAATGAATCAAGTCACTGATTGTAGGGAATGCTGGGAATTGAACCCATGCCTTTTTGCATCAGGAGCACCGTCATCATGTCACCGATCCTACCCACTTGATATATAAGGTCATCATTGATAACCAGCATAGATTGCTATTGACCAATTCTAACCTAGAATCCAAATAGAGATAAGTTCAGCACTCACAAGGCTAATGATAATCATGATAAATATGGGATTCAGAACCAACAACTATAAGCAATAGATACTGACTTAGTTGAAATTCCACAAAGACACCTTAGAGCTACAGTTGTAAGCCTATGGGGGAAATATGAACAGATTGATAGTCAAGATCATATTGTGGAACAGGGTCCAGACAAAGAAAAGTAGAAATCTGCCTACATTGCGGACTGACAATGATGCGTTGAGGAGGGAATTCAGGGCACCCTCAGTGAGGTTGATGTTCTGGGCTGCGATCTGTTGCCGGAGCTGCTCAGGATCCACTAGCAAGTTCCCTAGTTGGAGAGACCCTGGCAACAACATCCATGGAAACATTATTCTGCACACTCAGAATTCACAGATTGACTGAAATCAATCTTGTAATATACAATACTGGTCAAATCATATTTCAGTCTAACACTGTTGCATCAACTCTTGATGAGTTGAACTTACAGCTATCTTTAAGTATAAGTGGGGCCCCTGCTTATTCCGTATTTAGTCTTTATTGTGCCCTTGTATTGAATCTTGGAAAAGTATTTACATCAGTCCCTTCAACTTCCACACAACATTGTTTGCCTGTAGTTCTGACAAACACAAGCTTCAAATGTCATTTTATGTAGCAATGATAATGGATGGTGTTTGTGTTGCAGAGGACAACAAATGGTCACCTACCTACAGATGTCCCATTCCAGACAATGTCCTGAAGCTGTTGGAGATTCTCCAGGTCATTGATCAGATCAAATATTTCCTCTCTCTCTGTATTGTTGGCCAGCACCTTCTCTATGTCCTCCAGCAGTCTGGATATACTGGAGACAAATGTCATGTTACATTCATGTTGTTTACATAGCACGAGTCCCGATTCTTAACAACAATACCTACTTTGGAAATATATACGGTAGAACTGTTCGTCGTACAATAAAATGAGCAGTTTATTCCGCCTGAATTTAATTTTTAATTTTTAACATCCTGTAAAATGCACATACGTAGAGGAATTGAAGCTGTCAACTGTTCCCGCCCTTTCGTCTGCTGTGACTGTTTGGTGGCATGTGTTGTTAAAGGTACACAGGAATGACTGCAGGAACGGCAGCGTCCCCTGCAGACGGCATTGCCTTGCCATCGAAGTGACCTGTAACAGTAAAGCAGTCTCAAAACAGCAGTTCATCAATCTTGGCATATTCTCATGGCGTGTCCCTGCATGCAGTGTGTAACAAAAGTCTGTCCAATATATGCCCCAAATCCATGAACCGAATATAACCCAAGAATAACACAGCCTATATCCAACATATGGGATGTTAGTTCAATTATTCCTTTGGGTAAATGGTTTGCCTGGTCCTATTACGTCATGATATAGGTGAAATATTTCAGGATGGTGTTAAATGTTTTTCAGTGACACAAAGAGTTTCACGGTCAGTATGTTCCAGAAATATAACAGAAGAAAATCCTCTTTATTTTTATGTTGTCTATCACTTTGAATTTTCATACTCTAACTGCTGAAATGGGGAAGGGACCGGAAGCGATACATGAATAATAATTCACGAATGAAAGATGCATGAATGAATTTGAAAAAAACCTGGGATGTGTCACTTACATTCTGGGTGGTTTATGATGAGGTCAGGTCTTGTCCTCACGCCCACCAGGATCAGGAAAAGGCACAATGGCCATACCAGCTCGATGACGACACGCACCTGCCATGGAACAGACACATCAGTTAAAGCATGGATGCTACAATAGCATATATGCCAGGATGGGATACATGTACAGTAGAGGTGTGATGATACAGAAATGTCACCATACGATACCTATCGCTATATCTTGCAATGATACGATTCGAGTCGATGCATATCACGATATGCAAGTCACAGCGAAAATTTTGATATAATCATCAATTTCTAGTGAAAATTAACAATTTTAAGGTCAACGATACATGTCACGATAATAAAAAGTATCGATATGTTTATCGTCAGATAAAGTATTACAATCATTGATACTAAGATATATCGCTACAGCTCTAGTGTATAGCAACTGGCCTTGCATGATACCTGTGACAATCTGATCTAACAATATACAACAGCTTGTTTCATATATCTGTTGTAGTCCAATTGAAAACATTATGATACATAACAATGTGTCAAAATACCTGTTTGGATCTTATCTATTAATATATAGCAGTCTACCTCATATATCTGTTTTAATCTTATTGAAAACAATATGATATACAGCAACTTGTGTCAAAAATCCTGTTCCCATCGTCATGATGTTATCAATCATTTACACAGAAAACTGTCACATGATATTCATTCCAATCTTGTCTAACAACGTACCATGCTGGTAATACATACTGGTAGCAAATTGTCCCATGATACCTGTTCTGATCTTATCAATGACAATTGTTTTATATGATACCTCTTTCAATCATACACATTGTACCATAATATGATACATAGGAAATTGTCACGTATTCCTTCTTCAATCTTATCTCAAAATATGATATATATGACGTGTGTATGTATCTTTTCTAACAATATTATATACATTTGTTTAGCTATATAATACTGTTACCAGCAGTCCTTGAAGGACCCTGGACCCTATCAGTTTCTTATAATGCAGGGCTTCATTTGAGAAAGTGAATGCAGGGCTTCAACTATTGTAAGTGTCATCCTAACACAGACTTGCGACAGTTGTTGTACAAGGATATCTTTTCATGTTTATGAAACCAGGTCCAAGGTATATTGTCTTCCAAGTGCATAATAAATACAATATATCAACAATATATCCTATCAAGGAAATTGTTTCAAGGAGAAAGAAATATTTGGTGAGTGAGGGTATAGAAAAAATTGAAAAAAAAGGAGGCACAATGCCTTGTAAATCACCTGACTTCTGATGAATTAATTATATGACATATTCATCTTATTTTCGTACAAACATGTTTGTTGTTGTTTGTTTTTTAACGTCACACTCCGCAATATTCCAGCTATATGGTGGCAGTCTGTGATAAACAAGTCTGGACCAGACAATCCAGCGATTGACATCATGATCATTGTTCTACGCAATTCGGACATGATGACATGTGTCAAACAAGTCAGCAAGCCTTAAAACCCATTACCATTAGACACCTCTAATGACAAGCATGGGTTGCTGAAGATCAATTCTAACCCTGATCTTCACAGGTAGTACAAACGTCTACAGTGAGTTAAAGTGAGTGTGAGTGAGTGAGTGAGTTTAGTTTTACGCCGCTTTTAGCAATATTCCAGCAATATCACGGCGGGGGACACCAGAAATGGACTTAACACATTGTGCCCATGTGGGGAATCGAACCCGGATTTTTGGCGTGACGAGCGAACGCCTTAACCACTAGGCTACCCCACCGCCCCCAGTGAGTTAAAGAAATATTGTTGCCAAAGATTGTGGACGTTTTCAACATCATTTTCACTGACTTTGCCAAATTACTATCATAGAAAAAGTATTTTTAATTATTACCACAAAAAGCAATATATTAGAATTCAGAAATTATGAAAACAAAAATATAAAATATTAGTTTCACCATGATCAGTAATAGCTTAGAGACATACTTTTCAAAAAGGGTTATAATCATATAGTTAATTACGTTTGTTTGTTTATTGTTTAACATCGCACTCAGCAATATTCCAGCTATTTGATGCCAGTCTGCAAATAATCAAGTATGGACCAGAAAATCCAGTGACTGACATCATGAGCATCAATCTACGCAGTTAGGATACGACGACATGTATCAACCAAGTCAGCGAGCCTGACCACCGCAGATCCCATCGTAGCCTCTTACGACAAGCATTGGTTGCTGATGACCAATTCTAACCCGGACATACACGGGTTACAAAAGTTATGTCTACATAGTATAAGAAATTGTTTTAATCTATTTTATAAAATACATCTGTCATCACCAATATTGCCTCTGTTGTAATACCATAATCTTCCAAGCACCAAGAAAATGTGTCAGTCAGGTTAGTGTCAGTTCAGTTAGCAAGATTAAGAACTCTCCTCTTTCTGGTCATTGTATTTATTGAAGCCATACCCCATTATGCACTCCAATCACAATCTTTTTAATGTTTATAGTTTATTTAAATAGGTAGGTGTAATGTATTGATTGGTTGAACTTTGTATTGAGGATATTCATGTTATTCACGTGCATGGGCTTGCCGCATGGCTGGGTTAGAGATTACTTTAGGGTCGAGTATAAATATAAGCGAGTGCTATGTGACGTCACTCGGCGGCCATCTTCCAACCTAGCGATGTACCTCTAATGTTTCTCTTGGGCGATTAAAGTGTGTGAAACAAGAAGATGTTGTATGGTGATATGTGAAGGTGATACACTACAGTAGGAAACAAAAATGTTAGGCTGAGTAGGGTATATACAACATGTACGACATCGTTTATCTGTTCCTGGGAATAAAGTTGTAATTAGCTTCGAAAGCACATGGTACCACAAACAGTACCATTATGATTGGCGGAGAATCATCGATATTTTAAACTACAACCAGCTTCAAGAAAATATAGACTCAGAAGCAGCTGGATCCACTTCTGACCTCATCACTGAATTAAGGACCACCGGTCATCAACCAAGGAAGAAAATGTCTTCAAATATTTTAAGTACATGTACTACTTTACATTGTTGATTACTTGTCTTTTTCTCTTATAGTATGGAACATACCATAAGGCCAATAGTAATGGCCAATATGGAGTCTGGCATGGAAAGTAACTATGAAAGTGAAATTCCAACTGTGTTTAATTGATACATCCATTTTGCTGATGTTTTTAACAAAACTTTTGATGATCCTATACTTGGAAAATCACCCTTTCCACATTTTCAGGGTGTTGGCGTCGAAATGCACAAAGTGTTGGGATGAGTTGTGTAAAAATTTGTATTTGAGTACCATGACAATGTTCTGCCTACATTATCAAAGTCAGTTACTATAGTCCGTTTGGCTCAAAAGTGGACCGATGAATTGCAATCTAACTCGAAAACTAATAAACATAACATACTCAATGAAACGCTGATCATAATCAAAACATCATACCTACTCTGAGAGGTTTTTGTAGAATTTTGGTCCACAAAATAATAAAGTTGTTTAACAAACTATCATTAAAATATTGACACAGTTCACTGTTTGTTATGAGGGAGGAGTGCAGAGAAAGGGACAGCAAGGTGTTCGAGAAGCACGTTCACAGACAAAGTTATTTATTCATTAACCTGTGCTGTGCCGTCTCCATCCGTTCTCGAACACCTGGCTGTCCCTTTCTCTGCACTCCTCCCTCGTAACAAATAGTGAACTGTGTCAATATTTTAATGATAGATTGTTAAACAACTTTTTTATTTTTAGGACAAAAATTCTGCAAAACCCTCACAGAGTTGGTATGATGTTTTGATTATGATCAGTGTTTCATTGAGTATTTTATGTTTATTAGTTTTCGAGTAAGATAGCAATTCATCGGTCCGCTTTTGAGCCAAACGGACTATAGGTGAAAATGTCCTTAATGACAATGATGCAGTCTTAGATCACAGCTGTCATTCCCTGATAATAGGCAACAGCACCTCAGATAGGCAATATATCAACTCCATTGCCAATTCAGATCAAGAAATTTGTGGATTAGCAAAAACAATAGATCAGATTTACATCCACCCTCAGAGTGAAATTCATAACAAGGTTAGGTTGTCTGAGACAAAAGATGATTCCCTCATTCTCACAGAACCCACTGCTTCCCTCACTGCTCATTCGGAAGTGGCAGGTGGTAGGACCCTTTCAAAATAAAATAAGTAAAATGCTACATTTAAGATTATGAATCCTTCCCAAGAAGAAAGGGTTCTAGACAAGGGTATAGTTGTAGGCAAATGTAGTTACATTGACAGGCACTATATTTTCTGAATTGAATTTAAACAACCATTCATAAATATAGTGAACACTGTGTGAGTGTGTGAGTGAGTACGGTTTTATGCCGCTTTGGGCAATATTCCAGCAATATCGGGGGACACCTGAAATGGGCTTCACACGTTGTACCCATGTGGGGAATCAAACCAGGATCTTTGCAGGCGCAAAATAGCAACTACGAAGCGAATGCTGATGTCTTCTCTCTCTTGCAGGCAATATGAGCAGTCAAAACTCAGCAACTAATCAATGATGCAACAGTAGTGGATGCTGAAATGCAGCGTGAAAAGAGTCTTCTCAGTAACTTCAATTGGGCAAAGAAGCTCCACAAGCAGCAGCCGGTTGTCGGTGAATACCGGTGAAGGCTTTGGTGTGACTATTTTCTAATGTTTTGTTGATATCTCACAGGCGCGAGCTTTTATATGTTATGACAGTAAATTTGCCAAGCCCATTAATTCCTCCTAATTACAATATTCAATTAACTCAATCAGACTGAGGATATATATAAGTATTAATCATTTAGATTCTGTTGATTGCAAAATGACACAAAATGAGCATGTATTTACAAAACCTAACATCTCTACATATACACACACAATAACGTGAGGGCATCTGCAAATGACAATATATTGGTCTGTCACTCATATGTTTTTCATAACCACAATGGTTGAGATAATTACATTTAAAGCACATTCAAAGGATCTGCCCTGATTTTAACCAGATCTTTGACTACAAAGAAGATGATGTCCTTCCAGAAGATGAATTAGGATTGTCAAAAGATTCTGACTGAAGCCACTACCTTTGAAATTGAATAAGGAATCATATAGACACAAAGACAGAAGTGTCATGCTGACAAGTTCATCAAACAGCTGGCAGTTCCAAGAACTGTTAGGAATCAAGTCTTGCAATCTTACCATGACTGCAAGTTTGGCAGTTGCCACCATGAGAAAGAGTGGAGGCATATGACCAGGAGGCCAAAATACTATTGGCCAAAATGTACAGCAATATTGGAACATATGTCCATTGTCCAGACACATATGTCAAGAGACCAAGAAGCACTACCACGGCAGGAAGGCATCACTACATCCACTACCTGTAGAAGAGGTCTCCAATCGATGGCCTGTTGACATCCATGGTCCCTTGCCATGAACATCAGGCAAGTACAAGTACAATTGGTCATCATGGATGCAGCATCTGGATGGTGTGAAGCCTTGCCACTCAGGACCAAAGAAGGTTGGAAGGATCTCTTTTGGTGGCAATACTAAACCCCTGAAGATTATGATGATCCTGATGATTTACCAGTTTACAAATCCAAACTAGTTAATTTTGCCGAACAACTCATGGGCAACATCGACACATTTTACTACCATGCTATAACAACGTATTGAAGACCCCATGTACCATACCAGGATGTACTCCCAACATAAACCTCCGGTTGCCAGATAAACATAATCCTTCAAAAAGTAAGGATTTCCTTAAAAACAGGACTTTTATAATGAATAGAAATGAACAGTAACGAAGAGTAAAAAGCAGAATTGAAATGAATCGTATGAAAGCATAACAAAACTGAATTGAAACAAACTGTACACAAGCATAACGAGGAGGATTTAAATGAACTGTACAAACTTGGATCAAACCAATTCAAAGTGGAAATTATCAAAATGAACCAAACTGGAGTGAAGTAAACCCTAATTTAATGCATCAAATAGAATCTGTGCAAAACCACTTTATGTAACCTCAAATTGAACCAAATCAAAACAAATGAAATGAAGCATTGCGAAGCAATAGCATAGAAAAGCAAAATAATAAATAATAAATAACAAAATAACTTACAGAAGGTTGTCAAAACAACATATGAATGGACATCTCATGTGTTTAATGAGACAATACGCTTATTATATTAGTTGGTTTGTTGCTTAACGCCGCACCCAACAATATTCCAGATATATAGTGGTGATCTGTATATAATTGAGTCTGGACCAAACAATCCAGTGATCAACAGCATGAGCATCGATCTATGCAATTGTTATACAATGACATGTGTCAACTAAGCCAGCGAGTCTGACCACTTCGATCCCATTAGTCGCCTCTTATGATAAGCATGGGTTACCGACGACCAACTCTTACCTGGATCTTCACAGGTCACTGCTAAAACTATAAAACTATATTTCAAAATAATTAAAGAGTATCATATGATTATTAAACTACAAAACATGCCACTAAATAAATTCTGAGACATGATAAACCAAAAACATCCTCAATAATGAACACAAGAAGTAACTGCTGCCAATTTGTTTGTTACATCCCAAAGACTCATATATCCAACTCACCGGCTGTCGTTTTCTTAGAGTAAAATTCTTCCACAATAGCAGCAGCAGCTGATTACCGAAACCCATGGCGTCGGTGTTTAACTTCTCTTTTAGTCTAGGCCAGGTGTCGTCATATTATTTCCTGTGAATGAACAAGAAAATTAGTAAGTGAATGAGTAAACTTAGTTATACGTTGCTTTTAGCAATGTTCCAGCAATATCACAGCACGTTCAGAACGCTGTTTTGTTAGTAACTCATGCATACACATGTCACCACTCACCAGTGATGTGAAATATATTCATTCTTTCAGACGTTTTGGGGCATTTTTACTCGAAGTTACTTCTCCAATCTTTGCAGTAATCAATCAGTACTTTTTTAACGATTATCAATCTCTGTATCAACATCAATAGCCAGCCCTTATTGAAGGTTTGAATCCCAGTTTGCCCCGATTTTGTTTTTAAGGTTTGTCAGCACCATCATAATGGTTATCACGAATGTGGTAAATGTCTGTGACCTGCATCCTTCCACATTAGGCAGCAATGCTGTGATATAACTGGAATACAGTTCAGGGCATGGTTAAACCCATATCACTTTCTCATTCACCAACCCACCTGGGCCTAGATTTTCGAAGCTCTCTTAGAGCTAAGATAGTCGCAAGTTAATGTTAATTTATGGCACTTACGACTATCTTAGCTCTAAGAGAGCTTCGAAAATCTAGGCCCTGGCTTGTTGAGAGTACGCTTTTTTAGATTCAGCTTCATACCCACCTTACCTTACAAATGTGACCTTGTCACTAAACATGGTGGATAATATTTCAAACCATGTTTGTTTTTCTGACTGAACAAATAAGGCTACATAATTCATTGGTGAATACATTAAACAGGTTTTTAGATACTGAATTGGCTAACACTTGAAATATCAAAAATAGTCCATATCTTTATATTACACAAATAGTGGCATGGCTATAAATAATAAGTAATCGTGTATACTATATTGTAAATGATATTACTCCTAGAACACTGAAATACCGTATTCAAAGTATTTTTGACCATTAAAGTGTGAGTGAGTTTGGTTTGTGTCATTTTGTACAATGTTTCAGTTATGTCACAACATATCAGCCTGATGTGGAAGAAAATCTGATGCAGGTCTGGGAATAACCTGGAAACAAAATCTGGACAATCCTGAAATCGAAATTCTTACTCCTTCTCCTGGTGAATGATACAGAGTATCAAATAGAGTAACAAATAGTTTGGTTTTTTGGTTAATGCTGCACTCAGCAATATTCCAGCTATATGACAGCGGTCTATAAATAATTGAATCTGGACCAGACAATCCAGTGATCAACAGCATGAGCATCGATCTACGTAATTGGGATATGATGACATGTGTCAACCAAGTCTGCGAGCCTGACCACCCGATCCCGTTAGTCGCCTCTTGCAAGTATGAATTGCTCAAGGCCAATTCTAACCCAGACCTTCACAGGTCACAAATAAAGAAATTGACATAAAAAACATTGTTGACTCTTCATATATGATGCCGTTCAAAGAACTAGATTCTTAATCTTCATGCTTCTTATTGGTATAATAAAGAACAGACTGATAAACTGATTCAGTTACTGTTATGTTTAATCAACACAAACAGTTTAAAGTAAGTTTTGTTCTGTATAAATGGCTATTGACTACTAAATACATTTTCATGCTACATCATGGGCCTGCAAGTGCAGAAGAAACCTTGTAAAACAATATCTAACTTCTTCAAAAGAAACAACCAAGGGCAGTTTGTTTTTTATTTCATTCTCATTGATTTCTCGGTGGTTGCTGGAAGGCTGGTTAACGTTCCTGGCAGTATGAATATGTTCCTTGTTTAAAACAAAGGTCATTAGAAGTAGACAAATGCCCGAGGACCATTCAAATTCAGAAGAACACACAATCTGATTGCTATAACAAGTCCTGCTGAAGCGATCTGTCCAACTTGACGAAACTATTCCTGTGTCAATATACCGGGTACATGAGTCGTTATTGAGTTATCCAAACAAAAATTTGGAACTGGGATGCGGAACTTTGCATTTGTATGTCAAGACCTACTTTTCAAAGATATGAGTTAGCGAACGTCACACAATAATATAATGTTGTAAACAGCTAGTTTGGGGGATATACTTATGGAAAACACATCCTTTTGAATTGAGTGAAAATCAAACTTGTTATGAAAACACAAAAAAGACACCAATTGAAAACCTGGTGTGTGTGCAAAGTTTCATGTTAGAACAGGTATCTGTTTTGGGATATGATCCTGACAATCTCACCACTATTACCTGTGTCAACATTTTCATAGTCAATCTGGTTGGCATGGAAACTGTGATAACTAAAAAAAACAAACTTGTGTGTGCAAAGTTCCAGGAAAGGATACCCATCAGATATGGTCAAGACAAACATAGAACTATGAAAGGTGAGGTGAAATTAGGTTTAACGTCGCGCTGGAGAATATTTCGCTCATATGACGACGTGCATGCGTGTGTATGTTGTAGGTGCAGCTGCTTGTACTAGCCCAGACTGAAGCTGGTCTTATAGTGCTAGCCCACTGAGATACCATGCCGCAGTGAAGCATGAATACCCACTCAGACACATTATACTGACTCCAAGCCAACCAGTCCTTGTTGTACCCATTAATGCCGAGCGCCAGGCAGGGACCAACAAGTACCATATTTTAACATATTTTGGTATGACGCGGTCGGGGATCGAACCCGGGACCTTCTGCTCTCTGGGCGGACGCTCTAACCACTACACCACGGAGGCGGAGGCATAGTCAAAACTTGATAGTGTTGAAACAGAATACATAAAAATCATTACATGCCAAAAAGAACCAGTTGACATGCTTTCTGTGTGTGCAATGTTTCATGAAAGAATAGGGCGGTGGGGTAGCCTAGTGGTTAAGGCATTCGCTCGTCACGCCGAAAACCCGGGTTCGATTCCTCACATGGGCACAATGTGTTAAGTCCATTTCTGGTGTCCCCCGCCATGATATTGCTGGAATATTGCTAAAAGCGGCGTAAAACTAAACTCACTCACTCACTCACTCATGAAAGAATAATTTGTTTGGAGATATGATCTAGACAAATATAATTTTAGACGGAGCAACAGACAAACAGACAAACAGACAGACAGACAAGTTGATCACTATCCATGTTACATATTGGGGGAAAACAAGCTATATATACTATATATGGCTACTTGTGTGACACGTAGTCCGGGATAATAGTATATCAACCGCATCACGACTACTGTACCAAAATAATCCTTCCTGGCAGTATTATGTCTCCTAGAGAGCCATCAGGTACTTGGCACACTATCATAACAATACAAGTTTATACGTCACTAAACCAGTAAAACCACCTGACCTGAATGGATCGTATGTCTGGTACACGCGGTTGTGTGAGCACACGGTAAACACCCTCCAGTTGTTGCATATACTGCTTCATCATCACCAAGCTATTGGGAGCTCTGATTCATCCAGGTTATTATGCAATCAAGGAAACATGAGCTAGGCCTACCTATGTAATGTCAGTGCTGTTCAGTGTTTGAAATATGCACCTTCCCACAGACCTATGGCAGGTAGATCTCATGTCTACTAAAACACATACAAAGCAACTCCTTGTGCCTGGATGTAAATATGCTGCATATCAAAATATATATAAAGCATGTCCCATATTAATTGTGGAAACACATTTGTTTAGGAACTCTCAGTAAAGTGATCACTTCTGGACAAAGAGACGCCTCCGTGGTGTAGTGGTTAGAGCGTCCGCCCGGAGAGCGGAAGGTCGTGGTTTCAATCCCCAACCGCATCATACCAAAAGACGTTAAAATATGGTACTTGTTGGTACCATGGCGCTCGGCATTAATGGGTACAACAAGGACTGGTTGGCTCGGAGTCAGTATAATGTGTCTGAGGGGGGTATTCATGCTTCACTGCGGCATGGTATCTCACTGGGCTAGCACTATAAAACCAGCTTCAGTCTGGGCTAGTACAAGCAGCCACACATACACACGCATGCATGTCGTCATATGAGCGAAATATTCTCAAGCACGACGTTAAACCCAATTTCACCTCACCTCACCTTAAATCTATATGTGTCCTAATGGCCTGCTGTATATCTAAGTGTTGATTTCTTTGTCATTGTAAGCTGTAGTCTTTAAATATTTTTTTGTTACATGGACAGACAGTTTAAATTGGAATACTTTAATCAAGTAGTACACATCAGTCACAATCGGAATTTGTGTTATTCTGAATTTGAAGGTTCTGGGGGCATTCCTTGTCATACTTTACCACTTGTATTTTATTTCTAGTTGATATTACACAGAAATAGTTTGAAAAGCTAGCTCTGTACTGGGTAGTTTTAGGTAATGTATGTAAGATCTCAGAACTAGCAGTATAATTTCTGAAGCAGCAAAATTTACTCACTCATTAACTGACACCTCATGATAATATATAACATTTTAGATACATTTTAACTGTGACTTAAGTACATTTTAGCGTGATCATGTGGGCTTTTGTCAGTTAGCTTAAACTGTCAAAGTAGAGGATTGACTTACTGGACATTGGTTTGAGTGAGTGAGCTAGAGAATTATATTAGTTATAAAACAACACATAAGGTGCTGACTCTCACAACGAGAATTGATATAGGCCAGTGAGTATGAGTGAGTGAGTGAGTGAGAGTGAATTTATAATGGCCACATATGATGTAAGTTGAATAAATTCCCCTGTATTCTAATGATTCATACAAGGATTTTCGCAAACCATTTCCAAAGAATCAAGAAACATCGGATCTATAAAAGCACAAATATACGAGCAGTTCTAATATGACACTTACTCATCACATGACTCGACATGATCAAGATTATAGTGTGTAATAATAATAATAATAATAATAGTGTCTCAGGTTACCTTAGCAATTGTCAAAGGGGTATAACATGTCAATGACTCATTACATAATAATAAGTGTATATGCAGTATTGCTGAATAACCTTGACCACAACAATACCAATGTGATTCACCATTGTCAAAGTGCAGCTTTTGCAAGTTCTGCCTCCCTAGCCAGACCAAGGGGAGGAACATAGGGTCAGTTTCGTGACTAGAGGATATAGGATT